GACCAGTGTTTCCTCTACATTCATTCTCCCGTGGCGGGCCGCCACACTTAAAATCCTCCCGCCACGGCTGCAGCTTCTCAGTGACGTCCGATATTCTGCATAGTATTATGTTATTTTGTTAAGCCCCACTAAAGGCATAAAAAACTTTGTAAAGCACAATCAAGTTTTCACCCTATATTCCAAGACTTCTAAAGTCATTGCATAATGTGTAATTTTAGTCGCTAAGTTAAAGTTAACGGAAAGTCATCTCGCCTCAGTCATTCTCCATTCAGAATTCACACAGCTCGTCGCGTTCGTTTGCGACACGACGACACTCTCTTCAAGGTCAATATTCCCGTTATTATACTTCATTTGTAGATAAAGCATAAAGGTCTATGGTTTTCATAAAATGACTTTATCTTGCTGGAGTGGAGTTTATTGCCCATAACCTTTCACATTCCCAATGTAAGATTACAGCATGGAGTCGAGAGAGTGCTATTGTTCTTCATGCGCACTAAAATTAAAACTGTTAAAAGAAAAGGCTCAAAAAACTGTTGCATATAGAATACACTAAGCATTAGTGCTGCACGATTAATCATATTGCAATCGTAATAGCGATCTCAAACCTATGCAATTATATAACGCAAAATGCCGCGATTTTATATGAAATAAACAAATTAGGGCTATTAACGCAGCATCTCTTCTTTTTTGTCATCCTTTGACTAGTGTTACACGATCCCGCTCTTATTCGTGCAAATGCCTTTTCGCATTTTGCACGACAAGAACTGAAAAGCTGCCTGTGAATGCCCTAAATGAGACTCGCAGAAAGACGCGCGCCATAATGCGCATGCACTGACGCGTGCCAGATTACAGTTCTCTTTCGAGCTTGAACGAACAATAACACACACAATTATGCCAAAATGTCGTTTTGTCGAGTATCTTCATAACGTAAGAAAAGTCTTAAGGACGAAAGGAGTTGTGCTATGAGGCGCATGTGAGATCCGCGTCTCGGCAACGGGTGCTCTTAAAGGGCCAGCAGCGAATAAAGCGTTCTGTCAGTCAAGTTAAAAGAATAAAGGGAAATTAGAAAATTACTCACTGATCTTGACTAAAGAACTTTTGTAGCTTTAATAAGGATTATTCTATATATAATTTATAATTCATGCAGCACATACTGTTTGATAACTTTATTCAATTTCTGTATCCTACCTGTTAAGACAGGAAGGGCACAGGTAAATATGGTTTTTATTATGGGTTTATGTGGGGATTGTTTGAAGTTCACTTAATTTAAAATTTGTTAATTTTTTTTTTAGCCTAATAATTTTTTTTAAAAAGTTGATAGCTTTCACTGTAATGATGGTTTGGTTGATGGTTTATTGATCATTATAGGTGTTATCAATCATTTAGTTGTTGTCTGTAGTTTGAGTTGAGAAATAAACATTAATACACAGAATGATCACTAATCTGTGTGTGCATTTTACTTTAGAACCAAGCAAGTTGGACTCATGAAACCATTTTATTATATCGGAATCGCATATCACAATTGCAATATTGACCTCAGTAATTGCAATGGCAATATGACATTTTCCCCAAATCGTGCAGCCCTACTAAGCATATTATAGATATAATCCCTTCGCTATGTTCTTTTCAATGTGAAGCATTGCTTGCTGTGACTTGGTGTTGCTTCAAGTGCATCATTCGGGATGCGCATGATCGATTATAATACTTTGGGGAGACAAGGCCCCCCCACCGGGGAAATGGGCCTGCCCCCACAGCTTGGAAAAATCCTAGAGGAAACACTGATGACAGAAAACAAAATTTTTCAGGCTGGATCAAGCTAATGCGCATGCGCAGTGGAAGCGCGCATCTGGCGGTTTCTATAGAAACCGGAGCTTCTAACAGCAGCTGCAATGACGCGATGACTTTACAAATCAGTGATTAGCTTATTTAGTGGGCGGGACTTATTCCACTATATTGATCATTGCACTTTTCCCCATTCAAAACAATACGACTGACGCATCTTGTGTTATTCTATAGTCTTTGATACAACTGGCCAGGTACAATTGAAACATTTTAAAAGAAAAAAACAACTGAATAATGCTGCGTTCACGTGCAATGGAAAATAGGATATTTTCCACTTGTGAACTGGTATTTACCAGTGTGTTGCGTTCAAGTGCTCTTGTTGTCGTAATGTGGTAAAAAGATGGAGATCCAGACCTGTTAAGATTGCTTAAGTCATCTGCAACAGCAAGAAAATGATTTATCAAAACTCAAAAGTTAAATAATATGCTGTATATTTTCTAGATAACATATATATATATTCACCATTCACGACTCTCGCGGTGCTCTCTGCCATTTTGAAAGGGTCAAAGTTTATCTCATCTCGGCAACTCGTCCATCAAAATATTCTATGAGTTGCCCAGTGGAAAATACCACATGAGGGGGTGTTCATGTGCATTTTCCACGTCAGCTTTTGGTATTTACCATAGCACATGAACGCACCTTAAGTTTAGGTATGACAGAAAAAGCTACAAGAACTTGAAATATATAAAACAAATTCTCCCACAGAGAGCTCAGTTATCCAGTGTCCTACTTATATCAAAAAGAGGAGACCAGTTGGACTTCTACTCTGGCTCCTGACATTTGAGTCTCTCTGGCTGAATCCCAGCCGCCAATACCTGGAGTCATGTTTGTGACTTTTTGAAAAAGTGCACAGACAGAGAAGAAAGCGAGAAGAGACAGCAGAACTGCAGAGAAGAGATAGAAGCGTTTCTTCGGGGTGAGGGCTTCACACACTCCTCCATCTGGGTCCGGCTGGGCAGGGACGGGCAGAATGCCAGACTGAGAGACAGAGAGCTGGCACGTATGCAGCATTGGGCAGAACTCAACTGATCTGGAGCAGAACCACAGCCACACCGACTGCGCCGACTAATGACAGCGTGACATACGCCCTCTTACTCTCACACGCTTTGCAGAAAACCATTCGGTAGATCTAATTTTCCAACGAGGAAAGCAATAATGGAAAGCTACTTTTTTTTCTCTTTCTTCTTAATAATCAGCCTAGCTGAAGAGCACAAGGTATCATAATACCTCAAGGCCCATGAACTCAAAAGGGGCAACACAGATCAAACCGACTGAAAGTTAGAACGATATAGAGATTATTTATAGTCCTCATATCTCCGTTATTACAATGTCAATAAGCACTAAATCCAGGCTCTGCTCAACAGCCTCTCAATCCAATACCCATAAGATAAGCATGGTAAATCTTACCTAAAAACAAAGGCTAGTATTAAAATCTACGGAATACTGCACAATAGAAAAAGGAAGAGGAATTTCATAAATACAAAAATAATAACCCACAAAGGATTAGTGATTGTTACCTTGGTAAAGGCAAGGTGAAGTGGTATAATCACACTGGTTTATTAGTATAAGAACAAACCAGGACACCAGTGCTCAATAAATAATTAAAGTATAATATAGTAAAGTAAATAACTTCCTTAGAGTTGCCAAGCAATATGGTACAATAAAGGAGAATTCACCCAATAACAAAAAACTCTGTCATCCTTTATTCCAGCAACTCAATGAGGTCCAGTGTTGTCTTGAAATATCCTCTCTTGCAAGTCAGTCAGTTAAACAGGTCATAGAGGACAAATCAATTATTCAATTTGTTGTGTTCCCCGTTTTAGCTTGCATCTTAAAGTAGTAACGTTTTGCTTGATTACAAACTACATTCAGTATTCACACACAATATAAAAGATACACTAATAACACTGATTCAGTGCTGTCAGTTTGAATGAGAAGCAGGCCTATAATTACATTTAGCCATACAATTACTACAAATTACTAACTTTGTGTTAATGCTCAGTTTCAGATTTATTAAATTGATCAGACTATTAGAAACTAAAGTTAAGAACCAAGAGAGTGAGTGGTTCTAATGTTCCCCAATTACCACAAGTTTAATTTGGTGATTAGAAATGTAATATAAGGCCTCTGATAAGTCAAATTTGCAAATTCCATCTGCTACCATTTGGTTTACCCCAATATTATTTTTTTTAAAGCAGATTTCTTTTCTTTTTTGGACTGTATCAGATCTATTATCCGGGATAATAATAAGAAGAAGAAATGTTTCTTTATCACCAAATCAACATATTAGAATGATTTCTGAAGGATAATGTGAGAATGCAGTAATGATGCTGAAAATTCATATTTGCCGTCACAGGAATAAATTACATTTTAAAATATATTTAAATAGATACTGTCTTTACTGTTCAAATAATTGATTAAATAAATGCCTTTTTATAAATGTTTACACAACTCTTGCAAACAGGAGTTTGACATCCTGCATGCACAGGTCGCAAAAAGAAAGCGGATCCACAAACTGATGGTCGATTGCTTGTTAAGAATGTGGGTAAAAATATCTTATCTAAATCCATCAGGTTTATTATTATAGCTCATTCAAGTTCATCAGTCAACATCTGACTGTCTACAATGAGAGGATACAAAGGCGATATAAAATCCTGAGGAGCCGACATACAATGTCCTTTATGACAGCTGCATGTCAAACCTCTGTATGAAATGAGTAACTGTTCAACAAGGACCCTTACCATAAATAGGCCTCTCATTTGTAATGAGAACGAAGAGCCTGTCTCGTAGATAGAGTGAATCGCACGCAGGCATCTACCTCGCAGCTGACGAGAGGCTTCTGATACTCTGATAGACAGGTTGGGCGTAAACACACATATTAATACATTAACAGAAGGGCGTGCGGGAACGCTCAGCGCTTGGTAATCTGGAGCGACTGGAGCGGGACTGATAAGATTCTCTCTCGCTTCCCACCGCGCAGGCACCTCTGTTGGCTGCCGGCCAATCAGAGCTCATTCCGAGGGCCTACATCAGGAAAAAAGAAAGCTGCAGGCACGGTGTGTCTCCACCCCCCATCCAAAAATACACAAAATCAGAGTTTGCATTCGATATTTCAGACAGGCGCTGTCAACATGATTCACTCCCCTGTCAGCCCGGCGCAGAAATAAAATAATGAAATCCACCTCGAGGTAGAACAAAATTGCGCCGAAGAGAATATTTTACGGGGCCACTCGGCAGGATGGTCTGCGTGTGTTAGGTTGAGAAGTAAATCGATAGGAGGACAGTTCACACAACCGCACACTTCGATTTAAATAACAGTGAAAATGACTCATCAAGCCACTGATGATTTGATTATTTATATATCACGGGGCTTCATTTGCTGCGAGCATGTGGTTTATTACTTCCAATTATTAGTGTGTCTACAAAACTAATTGGTCATAAACAATATGCAAGCAGCGGGTTTGTGATTAAGTGGCATTTCTGTGAGGGCTTATGCCCATCCAGCCAGGATGCACGGATTCAGAACTAGTCAAACAAACTATTACAAAAGGACTTCTGCTCCTCTGATCCATCCGAAGCGTTCAAAAAAGCGACCATGCAAACTTCAATGAGATGAATATTATTGATGAATGCATTCAACTTCTTCTTTGTGTCTCCCATGCTTCTTGATGTAAATTCCTTGTGAAGAACAAAGATTGCGAGCTTCTCGGTAATAGAATCTACCGCTCAGAGACGTGGTGTAGAATGCCAAAGACAGGCTTGAGAAAAGTCTAATTTCATTCCGTACACGGGCTTCAAATTCTTCCTACGCACAGAATGTAACTTATAATTTTTATCCCCCTCCTACGGAGATATTTCCTCTTGATAATCGCAATTCCGGCAGATGAGATGGAGACAATGCGAGCAATTACTCTACACAGAGACTCGTGGCTCAGTTTGTCTTTTTGCGTCCTCCTTAACCTTTAAGACCAGCTCTGGGGGCCATCATCTGTCTGATACCTTTCGAGACCGCCCTGTCTCCACAGGGGGCTTTCATACAGTTTGTCTTGCACTACAATCTCTTTTTAATGGAGTTTTGAATTTTAGTGGAAATGCCAGGCCGCGGTGCCAAAGTGCATTTAATTGAGTTGAGCTCGCCTAATTTCTGAGCTCGCCTGCCAAATCTGCAATTTAGCAGCCTGCGATTGCTCTTCGTATTTCACAGTGTTGGACGAAACTGATGGTTCGCCATGTCTTTTGACCAAAGCAAGATCACCGAAGCTGGCAGAGCCGCAAGGAAAAAAAGGGAGCATCCGAACTGTGCGAAGTTTGTGATGTGCCAGTCGGATGACAGGTTGGCACGAGAAGAAACCCACGCCGTTCCCAGTGGTCATGAGATCAGTGCCAGCTCTTTCAATTTCAAACGAAAATTAAAAGCATTTCAACCCAAACCAAGGACGGGTCTGATCCCTGAGCTCAAAAACTGGCATCTAAAATAGTAAATATTAAACCTAACACAGTGCAGTGTGCATTCTCTTTGTCGTTTGTTTGTTACATTTCACACAACAATGCAGCAAATAAAGCCCATTTTATTTTTAATGAAATTCAATATTTAGAGTAGTCCAATGTGACGCATATGCCAAAGAAACTGGATCCCTCCAAGTACAAGTGTAATTCAACAACCGTCTCAATGACGTCCTGTGGTTATATTGCCCCTAAAGCAGTCACGACGAGGCTGAACATGAATCCAATGCTTAGACAACACTGCCCCCTGTCAGTCGAAAATACAAAACAGTCCTTCCCTTTCTCCAAAGAGTGGACTGTGATTTGAGTCACCACATTGTGAATAACACTACCGTTCAAAAGTTTAGGGACAATAGGTTGTTTTTTTGCTTTTATTGTTTGTTTTCAAGAAATTGATACTTTTATTCAGCAAGGATGCACTAAATTGATCATTGGCCTGTTGCATGAAGCCGGTTTCAGCTGCTACCCAGGTAAGTTTGAGATTAGTTTGCGCAAACTTTTTCAGACACAAGATTGGATTGATTTTAGCAGGTTTCATCACCCCATGTAACGTACACGACACTGCTAACCTGCTCCTGACCAAGTTTGTTTGGGGGGGGTTAGAGATCGCAGACTGGACCAATTAGCTGTGAGTAAAGTGACTGTACTCTAATTACATATAACTGTGTGTATATATATATATATACTATATATATACAGGGGTTGGACAATGAAACTGAAACACCTGGTTTTACAACACAATAATTTGTTAGTATGGTGAGGGCCTCATTTTGCATCCAAATACAGCACCAATTCATCTTGGGAATGACAGATAGAAGTCCTTCACAGTGACCAGAGGGATTATGAGCCGTTCCTCTTCCAGAACAGTGTCCAGGTCACTATATGATGCTGGTGGACTCGCTCCTCCAAAACACCTCAATAATATTTAGATCTGGTGACTGTGCATGTTCAACGTCACTTTCATCTTCATCAAACCCTTCTGTCACAAGTCTTGCTGTGTGTGTTGGTGCATGATCATGCTGATACACGGTTTGAGCATCAGGTGCCCATGATCCTCCAGAAGGGTTTGGTAGTCCTCGGCAGTGTCGTGTCCATCAAATACAATCAGGATTGTCATGATATTGGAGCTCATCACTGATCCACCCGTGCTTCACTCTGAAGATTGGTCGCCAGGCATATAGATGTCAAACCTCCAACATTGGCCAGTGTTTCAGTTTCATTGTCCAACCCCTGTATATATATATATATATATATGCAATAAAATCTGAATGTTTATAGTGAAATCCTACTAATATGTCACTTGCCTAATATTTTGGAACACATTGTATATATTTTTGGAAACATTTTACAATGAGGTTCATTAGTTAACATTAGATAATGTATTAACTAACAATGAGAAATACATTTGATAAAGTATTTATTAATATTTGTTAATGTTAGTTAATAAAAATACAGCTGTTCATTGTTTGTTCATGTTAGTTCACAGTGCATTAACCAATGTTAACAAGATTTTAATAAAGTATTAGTAAATGTTGAAATTTACATTAACAAAGATTAATAAATGCTGTATAAGTGCAGTTCATTATTAGTTGATGTTAACTAATGTAGTTAACTAATGTTAACTAGCAAAGCTTATTGTAAAGTGTTACCTTTTGTTTATTACCAGAAAAAAATAACTATTGTGAAATAAAAAACGTATACAATAATACGAGATCAATCATAGTCACCACCCTCCACTGACTGTTTGCCATTAAAATGTAATTGATGTTAATTTGATGTGATTGATGGCAGCTTTTCATTTACATGAAAGCCTAAAACCTAAACTCGATAAGCATTCTTACGGTTTCTGTTGTAAAAGGATACTTTCTCTCTCTTGGACGATGAGCTGGTTTTGTTGCTCTAATTGCATGATTTGTTTCTCAAAGGTTTCCTGTTCATCCCTGAGTTTCTGTACAGATTCCTCTTTTTCTTCACTCACTCTGAAAAGAAGCACGTAAACAAAATCAGATCCATGCACAGTAAATCACATTGGCTTGAGGTGCACTGTAATCATTCATTCATCAGACCACTATAATGAGAGGGCTTTACCTGGCCAGCTCCTGAATGAGATTGGCAATCCGACGCTTGTCCTCTGGGCAGAGATCCTTCAGCGATGGCTTACTTTTGGCTTGGGCAGCGCTGAAGAGAGTCTACAATCCAGAACAGAAGATTTCAAGTACAAATCAAATAAACAAACCTGGATAGGTTCTTTGTACATCCTTTAAAAAAGAACTTGCCAATTTAATACCGTCAACGATAGTTCGATTTTACATTTCCTGAAGGAAAAATCAGTTCTTGCAAGGTGATGTTTGATACAGACAAAAATTCAATATGCAAATATTACGTTTACATACATATATATAATGCAAAACAAAACAATATCATTGACAAAATCAAGAACTTCACTGGTCTTATTGAAAACCTGAATAATTTAGTTGATTTCAGGGTCACTTTACCCTGATTAGATGCATTTCTGTTTTTACATTAACAAACAAAGGTTTTTCAATATTCATGGCACAAAACATGCAAACATTTATGTACAAAATATCTCAAATCTATCCTAATTAAAGCACCACTGCTGAAATTGTAAAATAAATAAATAAATAAAAATCCAAAACTAATTGGTTGTTGGGTTAATTGTGATTAGCAATAAAAACTAAAACATAATTTAGCCTAACAAGTCAGATAGGGCTGTGAAACGATTAATCGTGATTAATTATGTGTTTACATAATATATGTGTGTCTAGTGTGTATTATTATCTTCTATATATATTATACACACATATGCATGTATATATTTAAGAAAAATGCGTTATTATGTATCAAATATTTATATTTATGTATATATTAATTTTGTATAAATATAAATAAATTATATACATGCAAATATGTCTTAAATATATACATGCATGTGTGTGTATTTATATATACAATATAATTATAGACACTACACAAACATATATTATGTAAACACAAACTTTTATTTTGGATGAGATTAATCGCGATTAATCGTTTCACAGCCCTAAAGTCAGGACATAATTTGGAAACATTAGCCTGTTTCTCAAAAGCTCAAAAAAACTTTAAGGCTAATGCTCATATGCTTAAAATTAGCTTTGTAAATAGATAAACAATACAAGTTTCTCAATTTCATTTTATTGGATATTTTTGAATGGATGCTGGAGTGGATGTTGTAAAAGCAGTCAAAAGGACACCAGCATCTATAGGAATGTCCAGAGTTCAATTATAGGTCAAAATTAATATTTTTTGGATTTATAAAATTTTAAATTTAAATATAAATATTACACTTATTTTAGTCACTGCATAACTTTCAAAACTCCATGTGTGCCATTTCATAGTTTTGATAACTATATATTATTAAACATAGAAATTAGTAAAAAATAAAGAATAAACAGACTTTTGACTAGTGTTAATTGATTGGAGTAATTAATTAGAGACACACAGAAATGTAAATTATCAGGGATGAAAAAGGTGATAAAGATGCTATCAGCATAAGGAGGTTGAGAAAAATATTAAAATGACACCGATCCAATTAATTCCAGAGAAGTACAAAATAATATCCCACACTACATTTTTTTCTGATTCGAAAAAGCCATTTCCCTCGGATGTGTGACAATAGGGAAGAAAAGACCATCAATTTCACGCCAACTTGGAGTGTTTGGTGAAATCCCACAAATTACTTAGTTTTTTCTGCTAACAGTGTCAATTTAGCATCCCTGCAGACAATTGTGAAAAGTCAAAAGCATTTCACCACACAAACACTGTAAATATTCATAAGTCACTGCTCACCTGAGCTGAAGTCAAAGGAGGAAGGTCTGGTTCTGGTTCTGGTGCAGGTGTAGTAGTTTTGGATTTGGTTACAGTAGAAGGCAGCTTCCGATCTGAAGCTTTTCCCACTGCCATTCCCAAATGCAATCCTGGTTTCTTGCCACTTTTATCCATGCTGCCAGCTCTCCTTTTTATCTTTCCCTCTGTATTATTTGCTGAACCAAACTTTAAGCCAAGGTTCCTGCTCATCCCTAAAAGAGGATGGGAGTGAGTTTTCAAATATCAAACATGAGGAGCCAGAAATGATGAACAGGATATTTTAATAGGTTATAAAACAGACTAAATTTACTCACCTGTAACAAAAACCATGGGCTGTCCCTGTTCTTCATCTGATTCTATGCAAATTGAAGGAAATACAAGAGAAGCAAGGGAAAGCCCCTAAGCCTAAAATAAAACATAAAAGGAGCCAAACAGTCTAAAAACATATTAAACAGAATTACATAAGAATAAAGCATTAACGTTAGTACTCCAATCTACATGATAAAATGCAGTTAGCCCCAATGTGATGATAATTTTACAGTTCTAGGGATAAGAACTGTAATTGCATTCATTTTACTGTAGTATATTGTATAGTATTGTACAACGTTCACTGTCTACGATCACTCTATGTGTCTTTTCAACAATAATACAAATCAAATTCAGAACAACTGCAGCTTTGTGTAACTTACGTTACTAAAACTAGCGTTCGGTTAAACTGACAATGAAAATCCGCTAATAAGTTATTAGCCTCCCTTCTCTCATACACACTGGCCACGGTTTACCTTTATGCTTTCCAAACCAATATAATATAACTAATTTAAACCGACTCGTCGAACAAAAATACGCAAAAAATGTGAGAAGGATACTGTCATGAATCCAGTAGATTCCATTGCCATTTGCGCCCTCAGCAACAGACGCCATACTGAAACAACCGCCACTTCCAGCAGGAGCCTCTCCTATTTTTCATCGTTGGTGAGTCTGATTGGATGACATTAACTTGCTTTGCCCGCCCATCCGGTGTACTATTGGTCAAATCACTCATCTCTCACTTTCTCAGCCAATAGGAGTGCAGAACCCCAATGTTTTGGTTCTGCGTGCTTGGTAACCTCAGCATCCGTCGGTGTGACTGCAGCAAAAGAATGTCCTACAGTCCTAGAATTATATAGATGCTTTTTACGTTATTTTGGAATGGAGGAGGTAAAAGATGAGAAGACATTTAAGGGGTTTGTAGATAGACTCACCCTCGGTATTACTCGGGTTTTGGGTGAGTGGACAATGTTTAATAAAAAATAATTGTAGTGTAGTCTGCATCCTACAATAAGCTGCATGCCCTGCTGAAAAAAAAACATCATGGCTAGCTGTTCTCCTGGGTTGGTCTGGTTTTGGGTTTGTGTTAGTGGACCAGCTTGGCTAGACTGGGATACCATCTTAAACCAGCTTACTGTGATTTAATATTTTGTGACTGTGTATGTGTGTTCTTGTTTAACCTACACTAAGAGGACCAAATATCTCCACAAAGATAGTGAAATGTGAAAATGTTTACATTGTGGGGCCATTTGGTCGGGCCCCATGAGGAAAACAGCTTAAAAATCATACCAAGTGAAGTTTTTTTTTTTTTTTTTTTTTTTGGTGATGTATCTATAGGTTTAGGTTTATAGGTAGGGTAAGTGTAGGGGTAGATAATATACAGTTTGTACAGTATAAAATGATGTACGTCTATGTAAAGATATAAAAACAAGTGTGTGTGGCTGTCTCAGCACTAATGCAAACCAAGTCAGTTATCAATGTTATTACATACATGATATGCATGATTCTTTTGCATATTTTCTGCTTGACAGAGAACCTCCCTGGTGTGCTGGATGTACGATTTGCAGAGAAAGCCCCTGCAGAAAAGAGATGCCTTCTCTCCTGGGAGCAGGTATGGTGGTATTTCAATATAACAGAATATTCTCAAAGCAGGTCTTTGATGTGGGTATGTTTATATCAGGTGTGTTTTTCCTGTGTGTTCTCCAGAAAAACAATTGTGTTTTGCCGGAAGATCTCAGAGATTTCTATCTCACAACAGATGGCTTCATGCTTGCCTGGAACTCCAAGCTGGAAAGTAAGCACGCTGAAACATGCACTGATCGAATGAAACCCATTATACAGTGTAGATAAACTATAATGGTACTTTAAATTTAGCCCTATTATACTGCTTTTTCAGATCTGATCAGTGTTTTACTTCTGCGACCACATCATTATACATGCACCACATTTTTGGATTCCATATTATGGTTATGCTTTTATTCTAAAAAACTATATATGCTTTGTATCTTACAGATGAAGTGGTTCCAGTGGGATGCATGGTGATAAACAGTGTTGCTCAGCTAAGACCCCTGATTCAGTCCAATGTATATTCCCTCCCCAATGCACCTACCTTAGCTGATCTTGACTTCGACAATGACTTACAGGGTGAGATTTTCTTTCATCTTTAGGCATTTTATCTTCATTTCATTGCATGGAAATGTGCATGAATTATATAACCTATATCATGTCTCTTTTAGAATCTGATGGCCCTGAACAACCTCACTTTGATTGTCGTAGTCGCATATTTGAGTTGGACCCCTGCAATGGTAATGGCAAAGTCTGCCTTGTTTACAAGAGCTGCAGTCCAGGTGATTATGCATCCCACACTTAATCCAGAAGGATATGAAGAGTTAGCATATAAAAACCGTTTATATCGTTTTAATCTACCATCTGGCCCTGTGTCTGCTGGCCCGTTCTAGGTCGTGTAGGTGTAATGGCTCAGCAGTGTGAGGTGTGGTTCTTGGACCGTTCACTTTTCTGGCACTATCTCACCCCCTCCTTCACTGCCTACTACCGACTTATGATCACTCATCTGGGGCTTCCGGAGTGGCAGTGTAATTTCACACCGTATGGCCCCAGCCCACAAGCTAAGGTCAGCATTATCTATATGTCTGTTCTATAAAAACCAGACTATTTAAATTTGTATTATTAATCAATTATTGTTTTTTATTTGACTAAAGTCTACAAGAAAAAAATTATATTTAAAAAATATATTTATACTGTATGGTTTTACACATTTATATTTGTTTTGTTTTTTACAGCCAGAATAAATTGAATTAAAAGAGATGTGTGTATACTATTTTTTATGTTAAAATACTTAATAGCCTTGGCTTCCTATTTTATTCTGTATATTTTATTTAATAAATGCAAACAAAGTAACACTTTAATGTCTTTAAATGGCCTGTTTTAAATACATTTTAAGGCTCTTGGTAATGCACTTTGCTATATTTAGTAAAAGTGTGGGGTTGGTTTTTGAAAGATTATCTTATGCTCACAGCTTAGGATCAAATATACAGGAAAACAGTATTATTGTGAAATATTATTACAAATTAAAGAACTGTTTACATATATTCTAAAATGTAATTTATTCCTGTCATGGCAATCCCAGCATTCCAGTCTTCAGTGTCACATGATCCTTCTAATATGCTGATTTGGTGCTTAAGAATTATTTAACCTTTTTTATCTATGTTGAAAACAGTTGTGCAGCCAAATATTTTGTCTCATATTTTTGTGGAAACTCTAAAAATAATTTATTTAAAAAATATTTTAAATATATATCAGTTTTAATGTGTGCTTGCTGAATAAAAGTATCTTTGAAAAAATCTTACGAAAAAATCGTACTGTGCTCAGATCTTTGAATGAAAATGTTAAGGAAATTTGACCAGATGATTAATGAAGACCAGGAGTTAGGAGTCCAGTCAATTTAATACAGGAGTCAGTAACATAATAAATTAAATAACATTTTTACTGAAGATAGTTAGAAGATTTATCCAGCAGAAGTCAGCTTAGGACTCACAAGGAGTTTGTTGGCCACTCAGCAATTATACCCTTCACCAAGGTCTGAGCTACATCCTTGCTACAGGTTGATTCTGATTGGCTAAGAATTAGATAAACATAAAAAAATTCCACACATGGATAGTCTGTGCAGCTGCCACCAGGACCCTGAGTTACGTACGGGAGTGTCCCTCCGAGGTCACAAGACTGTATGTCTAGGCGCCAGCATGTTGTAGAAAACAAGTCAGTCAATCTACAATAATGCCACTAACCAAGAATGCTTAAACACACACAGACACACAGCTTCTTCAAGGTTGGATTTGGTCAGGCTCTAACTATCAACAGTCGGCTCTCCCCAAAATATCCAGATAATGTGTCCTTTCTGTCAATGAGAGGACGCTTTAATATAGATAAGCAAAGTAAATGCTTTAACTAAGAAATGGTCATTTCAACTATTGGTTCCAATAACCCTTGTGACCTATAGTTGTCATGGTGGGCTTGAGGAACAGATATATATATATATATATATATATATATACATATGTTTTAACACATGTTGAAGCACTGTTACTGCGTTCATGAAAAGAACATTTCAGTAATCACACTGGTAAATCCAATTACTAAGTAAAATCTCAAAAGCCTAGAGAAGTCATTCAATTTTATATTTAGAAGGAAAATATTGATTAATACCTTGATAATAATCATTCATTGGATATAGATTGAAGCAGAATCCACCCTTTCAATAGTGAATGTTCACACTTTCATTATGTAAACAACTGCTACAAAGCAACTTCTCCATTGATTTCTTGATACAGCAATGGGCCGCTCTCTACCAACCCCTGACGTTCTATGGCGATCCCCATCTTGACACATCCAGTGAACCTTTATTGAACAAGCTGGACCCAGCCAAGGCGTTCCGTGGCAAGGCCAAGCCACCCACTCCCAAGAAGAAGCAGCCAGCGCAGGTCCCAGCAAGCGGCGGCAGTACAGCCAAAGGACAGGGGATCTCGTGGAGACACGGCGTGACTAAACGGTGACCCCGCCGTCCCAACTTACATACAGGCGTGTTGACTGTTCTTTTGGCTTATGCTGGGACTTTAGCAGCTGAATTTCATCTATTGATGCCCATAAGTCTGTGTGTATGTGTGTGTGTGTGTATTTATTAAAGATCAAACATGGACAATCCTGAGTCTTGAGATTCTTCATAAGCTTATTCCTCTATAACTCAAAAGGAAGTACTGTAGTACACACTGGAACGAGAAAGTTTGCCTGAAAAAATGAACCCCATAGGCTTTTCAACCGTTATCCATTTTTCATATTATTCCTGGAAACATCCTACCTTCCCTCTGTAGAAATGGCACTTTCTTTCTTTGGTCTCTGTAACATTCTTGGTCCTTAACTTGAGCAGGTCTCACACAGATATCTCTGCACTGCCATTCTTGCACTTTCCCAGAGGAACACATTCAGGATCTTCAGTAGACTGTGTCTTAGTGCTTTTAAGATCAGGGTGGTGTAGCTCTACAAATGCTTTGTAGATTAAAGCCCCCGTCACTCCACCAATAAAGGGGGCCACCAAAGGTACCCACCACCATCCATTTCCTGCCCTGGAAATACATCACAACACTTTAAATGTAATAAAATTATAATTTATACACTTTCAATTTTTTTTATTTTTTTTGCTTTATTCATTATTCTTTTCAATAAATATACATGTAAAATAATATATTATTATTTTATATTTTCATGTAACTAAATGTTTTTTTTTACATTTTGTTGTAATTGTACAATTAAATATATATATATATTACTTATTATTAAATCAAGTTTTTAAAACTTAATTTTACATAGTTTTACATTTTTACAGTGATCATACACCAAATGTAGGCATACTACTTTTCTTGTTACATAATATCTGATCTTATAATTGTGAATTTTTTTGAGTAAAATCACTATGGATGTTTCTTTAATCAATGTATGATTAAATAATAATGTTAGATGTATTATTTATGTCTACATAATTAATAATTCAATATTATTTTAATAAACAATACAATTTTATGAATACAACTTTTATTAGTTAACAAGTACTTTAGTATTTATTTCAACATTTACTAATGCATTATTTAAATCAAAAGTTGTATTTGTTAACATTAGTTGATGCACTTCAAACTAACATGAACGACTATTTTTATTAACTAATATTAACAAAGATTAATAAATACTACAACAACTGTACTGCTCATTGTTAGTTCATATTAGTTAATACATTAACAAATGAGACCTTATTGTAAAGTGTTGCCCAAATATTTTCCTGTTATAAATCTTATCTGATAATTACCGGGCCCAGGTTCCTCAAATCCACTGTCCTGCAGAGTTTAGCTCAGGAATCTGATTTGAGGAACGCTTCCCTAAAGGGACATGAGGATGGAAGAAAATATATGAGATGGGAGGAAAAAATTAAATGTCAATGCTTTTGCATTCTCTTGAGAAACTTGCGTTCCCCGAGAAACCTTTTGAATTCTTTGCGTGAGAATGCAAAGATTTTCTCAGGGGTACGCAAAAGCATTGATATATTTTTTTTCCCTCCCATCTCATATTTTTTTCATCACCATGTCCCTTTAGGTGCTCTGTAGATAACTGACTCAAAATCCAAAATATAATGGATGGTTTCAAGTGATGCATATCGAGAATTCAGGGATACTGTGGCTAGGTTAGGAGGTGTTACAAATCATTAACCCTGATCCAAACAAATATCAAATTGCGTGTGTTTTATAGCTTGATTTTATATTTATTCACCTGAAAACTTCCATGCCCCAACCTGCCATCAGTGTGAAGACTCTTGGCCCAAAATCTCGTGTGGGATTGATGGCATAGCCGCTGTTGCTCCCCAGAGAGACACCAATGAGCAGCACCACGAGCCCCACACCCACAGGCTCACCTCCGGACGCAACCGGCTGGTTTCTCTGGTCCGCCAGAGCCATCAGACACAGCAACAGCATGGCGGTGCCCACAACCTATTCCGGAGAATTTAAAAATATCTTCCTCTAAAAGTGCTTACTGGGTACAGTTGAGCAATTTTTTTCCACATGATTAATTTTTAAAAATACCTGGTCGAGGAATCCAGTGTAGATTGAGATGTAAGGTGCTGGATATGTGGCAAAGATCCCAGCTGTTGCTTTGGGACCAGACACAGTGAAATTGCCCCCACAATAATGATGTATAGCATCTATAAAGCACAGTACAGATGTGAGTGAAGAAACTTTGTGGCAATTTATATGACCTACTCCAACACTAAGAACAAAAATAACTCCTCCTCACCGTAATAAAGTGAAAAAATGGTCCCGGCAGCGAGGAATGAACCCAGAAACTGGGCGAAAACATACAGTGGCAGCATCTTCCAGCGCAAACGGCCAAACACGCACATTGTGAACGAAACAGCTGCATTCATATGAGCTCCTATGCGATAGAGTAAAACATTTTGCATTATTAATTGTCATTAATATGGAAAACAGTGAATTAGGAGAGGTCTGACCTTGGGGTCAAGAGGGTCTCACCTGACACTTTTCCACCAATGTGCACACCCATAGCCACACTCAGTCCAAAACCTATATTTATGCTGAGGTAATCTCCAAAAAAACCATTTCCTGTGACCACTTGTGCAACACAACCAAGGCCGAACACCTGGGATTCAAAAACAGTCTGTTAGAGAAACTAAATATGCTTATCATCGATGATGTACAGCTAAACCCTGATTCAAGGCTTATTTCATGGCTACTTCTCAGATAAAAATGAACATAAAATATGGATTTTAGTTTTAATTAAAAAAACCACGATTAGACAGAAATAGGTATTATTGTTAACTAAAACTGCAAGTAAATCTATTATTGTGCTGCTCACGTGGTGGTGATGACAGCATGTTTTTTTGCTCTGTATTTTAATTTGATAATTTTTTTAATTTAATATTTTGTTTTTTATGGGGATTTTGTGGTACTGAATTCAATTTATGGGATAGTTAAGATCCATTTATTGTCTGTTAAACACTTAGCATAGCAATTCAATTACAAACCTTGAAATATGCTTTGCAGCACGGACTTAAGCTTTGGTCTCCTTTTAAAGATGGCACTTAGCAAAATATTGCTTAAGTGAAAAGTTTAAAAGGTGGAGTTTCATTTTTTTTAAGTTATAGAAGTTTAAGTTTATTATTATGAAAAATGCACAAAAATTACTATTTAAAAATTACAATTTATATGAAATACATATTTTCCAAAACATGTTTTACTCTAAAACTGTGAGGAAAATCAAAGCCATAAATCTAAACTAAATCTAAAAGTTGTGTTAGCAAGGTCAGTTAGCATTGACAACATTTAGCAATTGACATTGTCACATTGATTCCACCTGATCATGGAAAAAAGTATGTCCAGCCAGTCTTTCTAAGAATAGAATATATGTAGCACATGGTCTGACACCGATCACCAATGCACTGACCACAGGCTGGCCACTCACGCAACTGCATGTGGCTATGTGATCCAAAGCATTGCAATGTACAATGACAATTATTCCAGTATGTATGAACATGCAAATGAGCCACTATGCAGCATAACGAACTCTCACAAAAGAAACAGCATCTCACCATCATGATAAATGTGCAGAGGATCTCTGCCAGGACCACTCGAACGCATTCATTCTTGATCTTCAACATGTATACCAAAGTAGGTGGCTTATGGCCTTGAAAACCGTCCTCCATTATGTTGACTTCCTGTTTCATTTCCTTTTGCTCTTTTTTTGCAAAGGGCTCTTCTCCCCAAGTTTGCTATTTAGGTTTTTTGAATGGTTGCCATTGAGCGTGTCTAGATAATACTGCAGTGTTTGTCAGCGATGTCTATTTATATGAAGTCTTTGCCCCTCCCCATTACTCATGCATGTACCCATTGGTACACGGAAAGAGACAGGAAATAAAAAAAAAACACATTGACAGCAGTCACGAGTCACGAGTTATTCAAACTTTCAAATGGCCCATCAGTATCAGTTACAAAATTAAGATAATCCTGCAATATATCATATGAACTGATGTACATGTTAACCTTGAGCATTTGTGTGTGATTTTGCACATTCAGTTTCACAACTGAATTGGTTCAAAGTCTCAGCTATATTTAACTGTCACATGTATGTTCTGTTTTCTGTTCTGCTTGTGTCCTTGTTAGCCTCAGTTTCCATCAGTTAATCATTCTGTTTAGCTCCCTCATTTGTGTTTTATTTATTCTACCCATTTTGTTCAGTTTTGTCTGTTCTTGTCTTTATGTAGTGGTTGTGTAATGTTGTTTCTCCTCCTATTAAAGACTCATTTGTTTCTAATCTCCTGTATCGTATGATTTCTATATAGTATATACACCCATGCCTGACATGGATTTTCCAGCTGTACAGCTGCTTTGTTTTAGACCAGGAGCAGCAGTCTTTCGAGGCCCACCTGGCGTGCTTAAAGAATTTTCAAGACTGATCATTGAGTTAATTCTATCTAACGAGTCTCTCTGAACACACAAAGCACGCCTATGCGGTGTCAGGCCCCGCCCACACTACTGCGTTTTGGTTTAAAAACGGAGACCTTTTGCTACGTTTGCACCTCCCATCCAGACTAAAACGGGAAAAACACGGAGAAGTTTAGAAACGCTGCTGCTCCGTTTTGCGTTTTGAATCTACGGAGGGCGTTTTAGTGTGGACGAGACAAAACGTAGGACTTCAGAAACGCTGACGCAGGGGTGATTTTGGGCGGAATCTCCTCAACCAACACCAATGTGCAGCATCCACCTGGATGATGCGATGGCAGCCATATTACGCCAGAGCGCTCACCACACACCAGCTTATTGGTGGAGAAGAGACAGAGTGATGAAACCAATTATTATAGGGATGATTAGGAGGACATGATGGACAGAGGCCAAGGGGCAAATTTGGCCAGGATGCTGGGGTTATACCCCTACTCTTTTTCGAAGGACATCCTGGGATTTTTAATGACCACAGAGAGTCAGGACCTCGGTTTAACGTCTCATCTGAAGGACGGTGCTCTTTGACAGTATAGTGTCCCTGTCACTTTACTGGGGCGTTAGTGTAACCCCTCCACCCGGGTCCAACTCGACCCGCTCTGAGCGGGCCTCGAACCCGGGTCTCCGCAAGGAGGCTTTACTTGCACAGCAACTACTGGCTGGCCTCCGTTACATTAGGACCCACACAGACCACAGGGTGAGCACCCCCTGCTGGCCTCACTAACACCTCTTCCAGCAGAAACCTGGTTTTCTCAGGAGGTCTCCCATCCAGGTACTAACCAGGCTCAGCCCTGCTTAGCTCCAGTGGGCAACCAGTCTTGGGCTACAGGGTGATATGCCTGCTGCCGTATATAATGTTCTGATGCAGATATATAGGTTTGCTAAACGGTTGCTAGGGTGCTCTATTTGGTTGCTAGGGAGTGGCTTGGCAGCTACCAATGATGATACTCCAAATGCTGCTTGCCAGTATGATTGATATAAACCAACGCTATGACATTCAGATTTGAAGATATCCCTCTTTGGGTTTGGGTTACTAGTTTGGGTATCGCTGGACAGTTAACGCTTTTTCATCACCTGTGCGAAGATCTCCAATTTAATTAATGGAAGTCCAATCTCTTAGAAAAGTAATAGCACACCTCTCCTCAATAAGCTGGTCGATTTGATACCTCATTCATGGGTCTAGCGCTGCAGGAGTAGCGTACCAAACTTTTGTCCGGAATAATAATAATTGTGCAAGAGAACAATAGTGATGCCTTGTCTTTGGCAAACACCAATAATGAATTTGGGAAAGTCACGTGAGAGGAGGCAATGGCTCCATCGCGCTTCCATTGGATATGATCAGTTATGATTGGTTTGTGCGATAAATCCAGCCTCTTGTTTTCGTGCGCATTCTCAACGGCCTGAATAAAAACAATGATGGTAATGGTATTAATGGGAATTTGGAAGACGAAGTAAACTAATCAGCCATTTCAACACTTTATGTCACGTCAAAATCATATTTGAAATGAATGGAAAACATAATGACTGTAGGTTTTTTTTCGTGAACAAAAAGCTTGGGGAAATTTGTGTCTGACAAGCTAGATGACTGCTGAAAATAAGTTGACTAAAGAAAAGCTGAACATTAGTTCACAAATTATATGGTTTAAATTGTTGATGTCTTTAGTTATTATCTTGGAATAAATGTAGACGTGCATAGAAATACTAACTTGTTGAAATTTATACATGGTTTTAATAAATAGAACATGCAAAAATTAAAATAATTGAATTTGGACTCTCTTTTAATGTAATGTTTATTTAATTAGGAAAACTAAGTGTAGCAGGTAATTTACATTTGATATATAGTATATACACATCAACGTATGTTTTTTTTATCATAAACTTCGCAATTTTAATGTCGATAAGACTTTTATGAGGATGTTTTATTGTTGTTTTATTGAATCTATTCTTTCTTTTGCCCTTGTGAGTTGGTTCGGGTCCCTCACGCTTAAAAAACAGAATTAGGCTGCAATATTTATTTAAAGTGTGTGGCAAAATTTCCAACAACCATTTGACCGACCTAAACTTGATATATGAGACAAGGACCCTTAAGAAGGCACAATCAGTATTGGCTGACCCTAGTTCACCCCTTGAACAGTTGCTTCATTTTATTACCGTCGGGCGGCAGATTCAGTTTACTTGCAAGACAAACAGACATAAAAATTCTTTTGTCCCTTCTGCTATAGGTTTTTGTAATAAGTCAATGTGAGTTGTAGATTTCTGATATATATGTGTGTGTGTGTGTGTGTGTATTTACTGTTTGAATGGCTGTTGTTTTGTATTACCTGTGTGTTATTTATGTCACATGCTGCTGCACAACAAATTAAAAAAACAAATTAAAGACTCCTTGAAACTTGAACCTTGAAGTCCCCGTGAAATCAAAATTGAACCTATTTACTTTGTTAGCGCATATATTACTAGTCCTGTGGTGAACAATTAATCCGTGCAAGTGAATATGTATTAAAAAAATGTTTTACCTTAGTAATCTTTAATCAAAATCTGAAAAGTTACTTCCGGTCTGGAACGGTTTCTTTTTCTGATGACGTAGGTTTCACAGTTTGGGTGGGGAAACGCTTAACCACTCCCCTCAAACCGTTAGTTTGCTATGAGCGAGAGATGGAGAGGAGGAGCGCTAGAGTAAAACCCTGCCCTCTGTTCAATATTCCGTTTCACTTGGAAATACGTCACAGCACTGGAGAAAAATCGTTTGCAACTTCCGGTTCACGGGGACTTTGAATAAAACCCACACCTGACAAAAACCTTATTTAGTTTGAACTGATTTAGCTATTATTAATAGACTTGAACAATCAAGCAATTCAATAGATATTGGTAATAGATAGTTATTGGATCATTTATCCTTCTTTGCACTCTGTACTCTCATAATCTATACATACCTTGTGCTTGTTATAAAGATAGCTTATCTCTTGTATTTAGGAAAGAAGTTGTAAGAGATAAACAGCTAAAACAGCTAATAGCTGACCAAAGTACAACACAATGTGTGTGTGTGTGTGTATGTGTGTGTGTGTAGAATTTTAGTAATATTTTGAATAAGCTTTATTTTCAGATGTAATTTTCAATTCATTAAATTCAATGAATTATATTTTAAGTTTTTTGTGATCTTGTCATTTTTATTCATCTTTTTTCCAACTATTTTTAAATAATTTTTAATTTAGTTGCAAGGCAACCTTTCTCATTTCCATTTAGTTTTTATCTATAGCAACTCTTGCTGGTATGCCAGTTGCAATATGGATACTTTTTTGTTGTTGTTGTTGTTGTTGTTGTTGTGAAATTAAAGGTGACTTGTGTAATTTCTTTGCCACTATAGGGGATATACATTTAAAGACCCAAGGATCCGATGTGAATAATTAATACTAGGAGTTGCAATGAAAAAAGTGCAATAAATTTAAGACATGAGTCAGAATTATAATAAATTGAAGAATTGTTTTACTGGCGATAGTTTGCAATTTTATCAGGCAGAAGTCAGATTCAAGACTCATAAGGAGTTTGTATGGGCCACCCCATTACAAATATCACAGCAATTATACTCTACACCAAGGTCTAAGCTTATGTCCTCCTTGCTTCAGGTTAAATTATTCTGATTGGCTAAGAAATAGATAAACATTGTACATTTCCACATATAAACAGATTGCTGGGTGCCAACAGCAATTTGAAAGTGTTAAATCAACACATTTTATTGCTTTATATACAGTAGGTCCATACTGAATAGAGTTAAACTTACACTTTAAATAATGTTACTTTACTTGCAACAACACTGTAAGTGATCACTGTTAACACCATTAGTGTAACAATTACACCAACACAAAAAGTACAATATATTCACCATCATGCGACCCATATAAACACTGCAGATGAAAATGCCTGTAGATCTTCAAGCTGTTGGCTTTTAAAAGTTCACTCACAGTATCTCGGTTCATTAAATGCATGATAATGTTCTGAAAAATGTTCAGTGAAAAGTTTGTCGACAATAAAATACACAGCCCCACAGTCAATGAAAAGTATTTTCCAAATCTGACCGAAAACAGGAATTTCATCCTCAATTTCATTGCCTACATTGAGGTCTTGTCTATATCCTGTCCAGGTTCATGGATTGTCTGAATGGGATTACGTAGCATTCCTTACAACTTTTCACCATTGTCAACATTCCAACAAAATGTTTTTATTGGTCCACACTTTTATTGGTCCACACTCAGCAAAGCATTGGTGAAGCCACAACACGGCACGCACAACCTTGAGGCGGATGGGCTACAACAGGAGAAGACCTCACTCGTCTCCACTACAAATAGGAAAAAGAGGCTACAATTTGCAAGAGCTCCAAAATTGGACAGTTGAAGACTGGAAAAATGTTGCCTGGTCTGATGAGTCTCGATTTCTGTTGAGACATTCAGATGGTAGAGTCAGAATTTGGCGTAAACAGAATGAGAACATGGATCCATCATGTCTTGTTACCACTGTGCAGGCTGTGAGTTCATTGTACTAAAATGGCCCCCACAGTCACCAGATCTCAACCCAATTGAGCATCTTTGGGATGTGGTGGAACGGGAGCTTCGTGCCCTGGATGTGCATTCCAGAAATTAAGAATTAAGGCAATTCTGAAGGTGAAAGGGAGTCAACCACATTAGAATGGTGTTCCTAATAATCCTTTAGGTCAGTATTTCCCAACCCTGTTCCTGGCGGCACAACAACACTGCGTGTTTTCTTTGTCTCCCTAATCAAACACACCCGATTCAACCCATCAGTTCATTAACCCACCTGATTATGAGCTGATGGGTTGAATCAGGTGTGTTTGATAAGGGAGACAAAGAATACACGCAGTGTTGGTGTGCCGCCCGGAACAGGGTTGGGAAACACTGCTTTAGGTGACTGTATAGTTGTCATGGAAGCCAGGCTAAATGATATATATATAATAAAAATGTACATGTTTAAACATTAAATATTGTAATAACTGGTAGCTATCCAAATTAAACGTGAGTCAAACCGGAGCTAAATTATGCTAATATAACACTTTTCCTAAGCTAAATCCTAAAATGAGATAAGAACACTCATGTCCCATACACCGCACGACCCAGAGTGTTTACACATAAACCAACAGGAGGCAGTAATACCGTTTTTTCCACTTTTAATGCAGAACAAAGAAACAACTACTCAGGCAGGGCCCTATTGCCTTACACATCTCTCTCAACAACGGTGAGGGACACATTTTTTACATTAGGCAGTAAATGAACCAAGAACATCTGATCAACTTGAACATTACACACATAACTTTACTATAACAACAACTTAAAGATCTTGCTGTATTAACACATAAATCAACTCTCAATAAACAATTACCCATAATGCACCCAGCTGCTAGCGCTGACTGCCAGGTCATTACAATATTAAAAATAATAATAATAATATAAAAATGATAATGAATAAATTAATGTATTTTATTTATGAAATGTGGATATACTACTCGTAAATGTATGCATGCAACACTTATTCAATAGTCCTTCTGGATATGGTTCATGCAAGTGTAATAGATCAAGTTGACCCAGTGTGTTCCTGTCAGAAGAACAAGCTCTTCACCAGGAGTGTGCTGATTTAAAAATGAATGAAGTACAACCTGCAAGCAAGCGACTGAAGGTGAGCCCAACACATGTTGGTTTTGGGTTTATTAATGGTTTATACTTATTTCTACAATTATATAATAAATCATAAACCACCCTGTGTTGTTTTGCATATTTACAAAAAAAAAAAAAAATCAGCTGGGTTGATGCTCAAAATGATGTTGTTTGCAGGTGTATACAGTACACTTTATTCAATTTGGAGCATCACACTCCCGGTAAGGTTTTCATTGTCACAAGAGGGAAAGAATTTATGGTTCAAAATTGGACGATCTACATTGTGGAACAGCAAATACACTGTGTGGGTGAAATGTGAACTATCTCTTTTAGTTGTGCATTTGGGTAATCAAAATCTCCAAAGTCACAATACAGCAGTTTATCGGTGACTAAAATTTTTACTCATACTCATAAAACTGCTTTTACTCATAATTGCAGGCTTATATCTGCAGGTCTATTATAAAAGGATTTCCGACGTTAAGACCCTGAGGAACCTGTGTTTACTCTGTTTTAATGAGGTCTTGAATCATGACTTGCCCTGTTCGCGCGCACAGTGGGCAGTTCTGCCAGGATCATTCGGACTAGGCATATTGTCTCTTCTAAGTAAACCGAGGATTTTAACTGAGTAACACAGACTTGTTAAATGAACTGGGAGTGGAGTGACATATATTCCCATCCATTATGGATGTTATCAACGGCGTTCTTGGCCATAATTGTGCGCTCGCAGCGGAAAGCACAGTGGAATCCGCGCGCGTGTCCCGTGGAGTTAAAAGGGAAAACTGCGATTATCACTGGAGCAAATACCGGTAAGAATCCCACTGTTACCATCTAAAATGTTTAAAAAATGTTTTAATCAATGTTGGTGAGCATACAAATGCTTAATTGGGAAGAAATGAAGAACAAATCACCTTTACGCAGAAGACGAATGAAAGTATCCATAATGAAACAATAAATAATGTGACTGTGACTGAAGTTCAAACATGTTTTATTTTTAGAAGGCTAAAACTAGTTTGCCTTCGTATTTACGCAGAGTCGTGTAAAGTCTCTGCCAAACTGGTTAAACCAGCAGACAGGCTCGGGAATGTAGTAGGCTAGATGTTTCACTTTTGTGGTATGTGTCTGGCGTCACTGGATTAGCTCATGATGGAAGATTAACATGATTATGATCAAAGTAAAGAGATATTTTTTATTACCGAAATGCTGTTATGTTGCATGTAGTCGTACATCATTTTGTTATTCCCCAGTACATTTAAAAATAAAGGTTCTTTAGTTTATTGGCATTGATGGTTTCATGACTAATCTTCTAAACAGGTTCATTAAAAGGTTCTTTGAGGAACCAAAAATGGTTATTCTAAGCTGGTATCACTGCAAAAGCAGTGGAACCTTTTTAAAGAGTTTAGGCTTACTGCTGGGTCATTCAACTCTTGTTTTGACCTCTCAGGGATTGGGAAGTTCATTGCCCTGGACTTTGCCCGTCGTGGGGCGCGGGTGATCCTGGCGTGCCGGAGTGAGGCTCGTGGGACTGCAGCGCTGCAAGAAATCAGAGACAGCACTGGGAACCAGAACGTGCATCTGCGTCTGCTTGACACCTCTTCGCTCGAGTCTGTCCGAAAGTTTGCAGCACGGATCTTGGAGGAAGAGAAGGAATTGCACATCCTGGTCAATAACGCTGGGGCCTCAGGTGGAACGGCCATTTCGCTCTCTCTCTCTTTCTTATATATGTCCATATTGTGTTGTTTATGTCCATACAAACAGTGGTTTGTTCATTCTTACAGGCCTACCCAGTAAGATTACCGCTGATGGGTTGGAAATCACATTTGCAACCAACCACATTGGGCCGTTCCTGCTCACCAGTTTGCTTTTAGGTCAAACATTACATTCCCAATCTTAGAAAGACACACCTTCAAGCAACACTCACAAATAATGTCTTTTCTTTGTATTGTCACACAGACCATTTGAAGAAATCAGCCCCAGCGCGCATCGTAAATGTTTCTTCAATAAATCACTGGAAAGGTGAAGTGGACTTCGCTCATTTCCGTGGGGACAATCTAAACCATGGGATGGATGCCACATATAACCACACTAAGCTGCACAATGTCATTTGGACCAATGAGTTGGCACGCAGACTTCAGGGCACAGGTATACATGTCCAAACTGAATCTCAATACTGACTGTCTGCTGTCTGTCATTAGAAAATGAGCAGAGAGTCATAATTAAACTGTGATTACTTGGCATTGATGATTCATACTTGGCATTGTATTCTGTATCATGTGTATAATGCAATTCAAGATACATTATATATTATGATGTTATATCATAACCATGATCAATGTAATGCACTCAATAGCTAAAAATTAGGATTATTTTTTCTTAAAACAATGTCCTGACTCAAAACTCTCAAGTTGAGCGACAGAGAGAATTTAACAACTGGGCGTCACATGTGTTTTCACTTTCTTTTCAAATAAAAGTTTTTTTTTATTATGACTAGACGTGTTTTTGACGAAAAGGCAAGACACATGTTGGAAAGATGAGATGAGAAACCATGATTTTGTGTGTGTGTTTCAGGAGTGACGGCAAACTCTCTGCATCCTGGTGTAGTTATGACGGATGTAATGAGAAACTATAACGTCATTATCCGATTCCTCTTCAACTTGATCGGCTTTTTCTTCTTCAAAGTGAGTCACCTATCAATTCAATGACGTTAAACCACACACAACATCTCCTGGCTGCCAATTTCTCTGGCACCACTAGTGGAATAGTTCCCCAAATAGATGACATGTGGTTGTGCTTTTCATTCTTACTGCAATTCTGGAACAAATTCCTAAACATTCCATTTAATAACATCTAAAGTTCAGCTGTACACGGGAGCAATTAAACTTAGAAGTTTGTTATGTTTAAGCGTAATGTTGTTTTTCAGTTTTGGTTAGTTTAAAGTGTTATAGCAGAGAGCAGAGAGGCTGCACAGTCTGACAAGTTTGTACCCAGCACTTTCGAATGCATCTCTGTCCCCAGCACATTTCAAACTAAACCGACACCCGTGGAGGTAAGCGAGCGAGAGACCTGCGTGTGCAGACCTCTATGGTGCAGACAGACGTCATTTTAGTTGCACGCACCTTTGGGCTCATGCGGACGCGTCGAGTTTAAACAAGGCTTTACGCTTTAACCAGCTCAGCCACTGTAACAGCTCATATTAGACAGTTAGACAGCAAGAAAAAAAATATAGTTGCATAGCTTCATGAGGTTCTTCTCCCTCGCTGTATTATGTGTTTGCTGTGTGGGGAGAAATGAGCTGGTTACGTTTGTGAGACAATCAGCTGATTACTATTTTTATATCATATATTAAGACCCTTGACCCTCACCTGACTATGGCTTTGTAAACTTTATCCATGATGTGGTTTATAATGGACTGTGGTACAGAAACAGTGACAATGTTGGCTTACTCTGGCTTTTCTCTGCTTTCTCAGACGACGATATGTTTGTCCCACAGCTCTTGGCTGTGGGCTGTGCAAAATCGCAACCTAATCGATAGATGTTGCTAAAAGTCACTCATTGCACCATTAAAGGGATAGTTCACTTTGAAATTGATTTTTTATATGTTTTAGCTTACCTCAAGGGAATCCAAGATGTAGGTGTCTTTGTTTCCACAGTATTTTCAATTTTGACATTTTTCAGTCAAACCGTTGTTGTCTATCAGCCATACACTGGAGGCTAAGGGGGTCCACCAAAAAGCATGCACAGAGAAGTCAAAATTAAACATGATTTAATGACTCGTAAATGTAAGTACACATTGATGGCCTAAGACACGAAACGAGCGTTTTTTGTGACAAAACGAACAGTTTTCTCACAAACGGAAAGGCCGAAGCTGGGGTGCGTTTCCCGAAAGCATCGTTAGCCAACTATGGCCGCAAGCAGCACAGCGAACACAGATGAGTGACTAGCGCTTGAAAATAAATACACAGGTGTCAATTCATGATACATTGTCTTCTCTTAAATTGAATACTTGACATTGTTGTTAAATATAGTTAAGTAATAATACTACATGATAAATAGAAGGCTTCAAATAGACACTGTGATCGGTGAACGGTATCAGTATCGGGTGATACAGCTTCCAGTAATCAGTGATTGGCCCCAAAAATCCGATATATATATAAATTCCGATATATGTATATCTGGCCCTGGCTAAACTCGAACTACGGTTTATATATATATATATATACATATATAAGGACTTGGCCCTGTTAGGCCCATATCTTTGCTTATATAAGACTTGTCAAATGACTGGTTTCTAATGGGATTGTAACTTTCTCTCCTCTGTGGGCCTCAGGCATCTGCTTTGGGTTACAGTATGGAGCAAAGTTAATCATGCACAGCATTTTGAAGTGGGTTCCCATAGCATAAGCTAGACTTATGCAATACGAGAGAATCTCGGTTTCCTGAGATGAGGCACATCTGTGTTCACTGTGCAGCTGCACTGCATCTTAAAAATTGGGCTTCAATATTCTCGAGAAAATGAGTTTTCCCATAGCGCAAGCTAGCCTTACGCAATACTTGTTCCCTCATCTCAGGAAACCCAGGTTACGTAAGTAAATGTTTGCATGACATGTGGACTTATCTTGAGTAAAATGAGCAAGCTGACATTCAGTACAATCTATATATTTCATTTAGAATGTATGCAAATGTCATTTACGTCTTTTAGTTTGTCAAGAGATTTAAAGCGTAGTTTTTGAAGAGTGCGCATGGCATGTTCGAACGTTCTCTGTTACGTAAGAACGAGCCTATTATAACTGAGAAAAATTCGAAATAGTCCTCAGGTGCCATGTCCGCAATTTATAGCAAAACATCTAGCAGTAATTTGATCTCAAACAGATTAATTAAATGAAGTTATACTCCACTACTGACATCATTAACCAACGTGGTTGAACAACCAATTTGCGACAATACAGTTTCAGGAAACAGTCATGACTAGTTGATTTCTTCAATGATGCATCGTACTATGGTAGTAAAGCAGCGGGTTACGTCATTGTATGGGAAACCTGATTGGTCAGATGGCCCAGTCTGTTGTGATTGGTCTACCACTATCATCACCATATCTGGATTTCAGCTCCGGAGGCTATACCTCAGTGCTTGATACACAGTGAAACAACAGTAAGGATCGAGTCGAATTTACCATATCAATTTGAGCCCGAGTCCTCGTCTTTTGGAAGTGCTTGCAAGTTGATTTGTTTTCGCAGTGCAAATAGAGTCTGTCCACAACACAACTGGCGTCTTCCTGTCTCTAACAACTAGTGTTTGAGAGCGGGTCAAATTTGTAACAAACTTACATAGGTTTGTGCAGGAAGTAAGACTGGAATTACTGGGGACAATCATTTGTTTTATTGTGCACTTTGATCTTTGAAACTTGGCTGACCTTTTAAATCTACAAACAGCTATATTACATGCTGCATCAAAAGTAATATCCAAGCATAATAGTGCAATTTAACATTGATTTTTACAAAAGAAAGGGAAAGAGAGAACAGGAGTCACTAGTAGTCATGCATGAACAGTCATCCTGTAGTTTCCTGGAAAGTACCTATTGGAATATTTTTATTGTGCAATTCTTATATATCGAGACCAGTGACGTAGGTTTCATTTAAACACTATAGGACACAAACCCCACAAGTGCACTACAATATCATTTGTCAAATGACACTTGTTTTAACATGTGGTGAATATTCAACAAAAATTGTTTATTATCCATTGACTTTATGTGTGTGTGCATTTTTCCAACACAGACTGCCGAAGAGGGGGCTTTCTGCCCAATATACTGTGCAGTGTCGGAGGAAACAGATGGAATAAGTGGAAAATACTTCGACAGCGACTGTTCCATTGTACTTCCAGCAGTTCTTGCCAGAGATCCTGCTCTCGGAGTGAAGGAATATGAGTTCTGTGAGAGGCTGACTGCTAAACCATAAAGGGACAGAAATTCTGTCCTCATTAATTCATCGTCATGTTTCTCCAAACCATATGAAAAGATGTTAGTTTAGCGGAATGACCATGCAGATGTACCATGCAAGCAGTCCATGAAACCGTCTTTTGAAAACTTTATGTGGGGAACTGACTGAACTGTAACTTTTGCCCAATCATTAAGGCTTGGCTGTTTCTGATTGTTGTAATGTTAACCTTTTTTTCTAAAGCAGATATTGAACATATTTTACAAATCCTCTTGAATAAATAACATATAACGGCTAATTCTGCCATTATGTCTCTTTTTTTTTTTTGGTCCACTCAACAACTTTGATCTTTCAAACATGATGTTTTTGATGTAACTTTCTGCAATGTGGTAGTTATTTTCTCAAACTTAATGGAAAACAGAATGTAGAAGCACTCTCAAAATGCAATGTGAATTCCCACGTTTCCCATCCCAACACATCCAAACGATTCAACATGTTCTCTATTTGCTATAAAGAGTTTTGCAATAACAGACATCCTCTATAATAAATGAAAGCTTGAATCTGGGCATGTTTCCTATTGTTTCCAACCAACATGCTGACCTCTCCTCAAGCTGACACTATACATATTGACCACTGTGAACATTCAATTCACACAAACACATACATTTTTGACTAAAACACAAAATCCTACCATTTAAATGTTTGTGGTCGGTAAGATTTTAGAATAAATTAATCATTTTATTGAGTGAGGATGCAATACATTGATTGAAAGTGACAGTCAAGACTTTTACATTGTTAAAACTGTATATATTTTTCTATTTCTAGGCTGTTCTTTAAAAATGTTTAGCAGCATACTAAATTAGCACAACTAATAAATATTTCTTGAACATATTTCTGAAAGATCATGTGACACTGAATACTGGAGTGATGTTAAAAATTCAGCCTTGCCATCGCAGGAATAAAATACATTTTAAAATATTTAAGTAAAAAACAAATATTTGAAATTTACAATAATATTTCACATTATTTCATATTTGACTGTTTTCATCAGATAAATGCAGCCTTGGTGAGTATAAGGGACTTCTTTACAAAAAAACTTAAGGTATAAAATGTAAAGCTGAGATGATTTTACTGTAACCATTTGGTATATTAAATAACAATATTTATTTATATCGAAAAAGTAACAAATTTAACAAAATTACAGGAAACAAGGCAAATTAAGAGTAAAATTAAAACAGATGCAAACAGCAATTTAGCATGTTTTTTAACAGTTTAGAAATTCATCTATATATGACAAGAAACTGATTTTGCGTGTAATTTTATTTTATTATGATTCATTTATATTTATAGACAAAATATTTGTGCTTGCAATTGTCGTTGAATGCAGAATTCCAGCCTTATTTCACTGTCAAAATAAAGCACAGACATCAGTGTGTGTACACGAAATATAGAACTACATTTTACTGCATGGATTTAAATTCTCCTTACCCATCTCGGGCTCTCCTACAATGTTCTGCAGCATCTTACCAAAAGCGGACCCAATGTGGCCCTTTTTAGCAGTGAGCTTCACCCCTATTTCTATAGGCTGGCCCTTCAGATGAAATCAGCCAATCAGAAACTCAAATACATTATGAAATCCTTAAAAAAATGCTGAGATCCCTCACCACTGGCTCTCCTCCAGTCTCATCAATCAAAACTTCCACAGCCTGTGGATCAGCATCCTTCCTCCCCTCCTTTTCCTGTTGAAGTTGAAGGGAGAAACAAAATAACTTTCTTGAACAGCTCAGCTCTTGAACTGAAGGTTGAATTGAAATGAACACTCACCCTGAGCTCTCTCATCTCTTTGGGGCTGAAGAAAGTGATGTGTCCATCTGCTTGATCACCCTGAAGAGCAACAATATACAGCAGGACCAAACATCCTGTAACCGCTACGCGCATCTTTGGGGCAACACGTAAAAACGCAAATCAGCAAGAGTTAAACACAATGCGGGAGATAACATGGTGCATACTCATGCTTTTGTTGATAAGTTAGTTCCAGTTGTGACGTACATCAGAGAGAATTAGAGATAGGATTTATTTTATGATAAAATCAGGAAGAGTGAGAGAGACAGAGAGGTCGAGAGACTAGTACCTTTGTACAGCATGCAGGTGGCCTCCGTGACAGGCTTTGTGTCAGTGGTCTGAGAGCAGTCTGATTTATAGGAACCCTCAAAGCTCTTATTTACTATCTCTGACGTATGTTTCCATAAACTCCTCCACCTGGACCATGGAGACAAGCGAGAGACACAGTAAGGGCTTGACATAACTTGGTTGTAGTACCTATTACGTTTTTGTATGTTAGAGTTCAGGAAGTGTATTACCCAGGTAGAGTTCTGCTCCAGTTTTTATTTTATTTTTTATGTTTTAAAAATGTGTTTTCTTTGTTATGCTAACTTTAATGGAACATTCCATTTTATAATTGTGCAAACACAAGGAACACTACCTTAGAATGTTCTCTAAATCTTCTGCAACTAAAAAAAGAAGAAAAGTTGGATGAAAGTCCAACTAAAATGTTTCAGGAAAAAAAGTTGCATGAACAATGTTGTTTTTGTACTAATGTTCTGTGAATATTATGAAAGACAAGATAACTTTCAACGTTCTATTAAAGAACATTTGTTTATAACTTTAAGGACATTTGTCAAAGTTCTGAGAACATTTCCTGTCGATAACTTGGTTTTAAGAATTTTGAGTATTCCAGAATACAACATTAAAATATTATAGGGATAGTTCACCCAAAAAAAAACAAAAAAAAATCCTGTCATCATTTACTCACCCTCAAGTTGTTCAAAACCTGAAGAATAAAATATATTTTGAAGAATATGGATAACAAACATTTGATTTTGATTTTTTTTCCTAAATATTACACCTCAATATTATTCCAAATATATATTTTGTGTTCTGCAAAAGAAATAAATTCATACAAATTGTAAGTAAATAATGACATAATTTTCTTTCTTTTTTTTTTCCGGGAGAATTATAAGGGCAAAATTAGATACAACTTTTATTCCTCGGTGTGCGTTTTGTTGTTGCTAAGGACTCTGCATTTCCATCTGATGTATATAAAGTCATAAATTCAATTCTCTTTTAAAATATGAAGTCAACACTGGTATTTATTGCTGTGGCTCATACATTATGGCACATTTGTCTGATAATTAGTGGAAGGATGAATGTGCAACCAGCACTGTTTATATCATAACTCTTGAAATTTTTCCTGCATCAAATATATTTAGGCAATTTGTCTTTACAAAACACTAATAAATACACACCAATAAAGTTTTATTGGGCAAATGCTTGCAGCTAGATTGGCTTATTCAGATTAGAAAGAACGAAGCACATAGCCTATTTGACTTTTTGAGACGTATAAGTGTTTGAAATACTATTATTTAAATACTATTAAATTAATATGCCTACACATTAAACTTTAAATTAACAAGATTTAACAGGCTGTTTTTTTCATCGTTTTTTGACATAAACTAGCCTATTAGCAACTAAATTAGCAATAATTGATATACGATTATTTAAATCAGAATGACTTTAAAATAAATAAGAGTGATTTATTTTATTTTAACTATTTTTGCATAAAAACTGTTCACATTCTCTAATTAATTGCACCTAAACAGTAAAATTATTTAAGTACTATGCGAATTATGCCTAACCTTTATTTAATTGAGTTACTATATTATAATATTTCATCAGTCCTTATCATATATATTACAATATTTAATCAGTTCTCTCATGGGCATCATTCTACCTTATAATGCATTTTTCTCCGCCAAACGGGATGTCCATTCGTGTGCCACGAATCTTGCATTTCCAAACATTTCCAACAGGCGACGCACACACGACACACGCCCGCAAAATCCAAAATCCCGCCCTTTTGAAATATCGCGATAGGCTGCGTGACTGAATCATGCGGGTTTTCGTACTTGAGCGCATGTGAATTCTTTCCTGTTCAAGTGATCCGAAGGAACGGAACGCTCCCTCGTGCGTGGCGCACGAGATCAGTAAACATGGTAAAACATGCATTATTTCTTTATGCAATCTTTAGAAATTAGCAGATCGGTGTTTTGCACCGTTTTACTCATCACCACCGTGTTGTATTATAAATCTGGCTTTTATGATGGCCGACGTGCTTGATTGCAGATTTGTTGCTATTACAGAGTTAAAAGTTTTAACAATTGTTTTAACTAGTTTATTGAGCACATTTATTATGCGCTCGCACGATACAAACCGCATATATACAATTATTGCAGCCTACTTGAGAAGATAAATGGGCGAATCCGGTGACACAAGGCCTCAATGTGATATTAAAGCCCACGGCAGCCATTTCATTTAATCTAACGAGCTCGTAATGTTTACTCACCTCCCGTTAGTGTTTTGGACCAATGGTCTGGTTCCGATCTCAGTGCTATAAGATGTTCAATTCTAAAAGTGACGCGTTGAGTATTTGATCCACTGGAGTAGCACGTGTGTCTGTGCTAACCCATGCTAATGTGTTTCTCTCCAGCTTCAAGCTCTAATGTAATAAAATCTAAACAGGGGTAGTTTATTAACGACTGTTGTTATCTTCTGCTTACGCAATGTTGTATTATCATATTAAATACTTAAAAACGAGGCTTCTTTGTGCCTGGAAGTGCCACCTCCATGTGGGCTGTTTAAACACGTGCTGGCGTTGACCTGCAAATTCAACCGTTCAGATTCACAACAATTATAGTATTATTTATTTGTTGGTTGTTAATATAGAAATTAAGCATTTAGGACTTTGTCCCTTTTTGTTGTAATTCTATTTTTATGGTATTAGTGGTAATTAATAATTGTACCCTCTTTCTCTCTCTCAGGTGCTTTTACACGTGTTGTTTGAGCATGCAGCTGGATATGCATTATTTGCTGTCAAAGAAGTTGAAGAGATTGGAATGCTGCTACCTCAGGTTTGTCTATTAAGAAAATTCAAATAAAGTACATTTGTCCATACCAACTATGTGGAGAAGGGTTTAACGATTTGGGCATGCGTTCAGAAGGCTGTTGGTCCAAATCCCAGCCATAAAAGTGACATTGAAAAATAGTCCTTATGTGAGCATAGAATTCTACATTAACAATGGAAAGATTATAGGATTTAAAGATGCAATTTTTAATGAGAAAAGAAATTTATGTTATAGTAATGTCACAACTGGATTTTACAATGAAAACTGACAGACTTTTCTGGTGATGATCAATACGGCATGGCTTGGTTCGTTTTAGCTTGGTTGCTTTTACAGTGCAGTTAGTACCGTTTTAAAGTGGGTGGTATTATAGACTGATCGATAACAGCGGTGGTTGTTACTGGCTATTTAAATCTAGCGGGTTTGGTTTCCCTTGTTGATGTCTATTGGTTGCATACAATGACGCTTGTAGTGACGATTCTGTCTGACCAATCAGTGATTTCACGTCACATTTCAGGTGTGCTTAGAACCTCAACAGACCAGGTACCATTTAAAGCGAGCCATACGGTACCATGCAGTGGAAAAGCGCCATTAGGCTCTGGTGTTCTCAGCGCCGCCAAAATAAATGTCTTCCGCACCAGACAACAAGAATTGCGGTTTATGTCTCCGAGTTCCTACTGGTGGTGCGAATGCAACCAGAAAAATGGCCCTAGGGGATATCTTATAGAACCTGAAACATTTTATAGAATCTGCATGTAAAGCACTTTGGTTCAACCTTGGTTGTTTTAACAGTGCTATATAAATAAATAACTAAACAAACAAGAACAAGACCTTTAAATTTCAGGGAACCACCCTGGTGGCTAGTTCCTGGAACAACCTAGTGCAAAAGTGGTGTATGTAGTTTAACTATAAGTGTCTTTCTCTTTATAATGACATACCAATTATGATTCTTGGTCTTCATAGGTGGAGGAAAGTGTCCTAAATGTTGGCAAATTCAGTAGCGTAATCCGACTGAGTGCATTCTTCCCCTTTAAATCCGCCCAGACTGCTCTGGAAAATATCAATGCCATTTCAGAAGGTAAGAGACAAGAAGGTCATTTCAAATTGCTTCACTGATGAAATGATGTACATATAATCTGTCAATCCACTGAATTATTGTGATGACAGCATACCTACAAACTGATCATTTGAGGTTGATTTGTTGATTTGCGAATTGTGACCAACGATTAGTGACGCTTTAGTCCTCGTCTGATCCTGGCAGGAGTTGTCCATGCGGATCTCAAGTTGTTCTTGGAGACCAACCTTCCGTCCGGGGGTAAAAAGAAGTCCATGTTGGGGGTGTCCGATGCTAAGATTGGTGCAGCGCTTCAGGAAGAGCTTAATCTGTCCATTCAGACTGGAGGAGTTGTAGCTGAAATCATAAGGGGTGAGCATGATTCAAATCAGGGGTTTTCAATCGTTAAGGTGCCATAAACCCCCAAATATGATCAACTAAGTGGAATGGACATCTGGCCCCAATCTTAACATGTAAAGGGCAGCTTTATTTCATTTAAAAAGACTCAATTTTACTGTAAGATGATTATAAATGTGAGAATATTTAGTTTCACTGTAGTAGTACAAGTGTTGTATGTATTGAAATATTTAGTTTCATTATTTTTCCAATAAAAAAGATCCCTTGGGGGTCCCTGGACCTCAGGTTGAAAACCCCTGGTTTAAATCCTTATGCAAATCGCATATCCAAACAGTTTTGAACCGCCTGCTGTAATGATGTACCTAGATAACCTGATTTCTGATGCTTTATACTGAAAAGCTGAACAGACAGGCGAAAAAAGTGTTTTAAAGAGACCAACAGTGTTAACTGTTCTTAATACAATGCATCTGTTTGTAATTGACAGGTGTGCGTCTGCACTTCCATTCCCTGGTAAAGGGACTCACTGCTGTGGCTGCGTCCAAAGCTCAATTGGGTTTGGGTCACAGCTATTCCAGAGCTAAAGTCAAGTTCAACGTCAATAGGGCGGACAACATGATCATCCAGTCGATCGCCCTCCTGGACCAGCTGGACAAGGACATCAACACGTTCTCCATGCGTGTGCGGTAAGATTTTTTTTTTTTTTTTGTGGGACTTTCCTGTAGTTGGATCTTATCCAATCACCTCCTAATGCTTACCACAGACAGCGCCCCCTAGTGCACTGGCTGTACAGAAAGTGGAGGCACAGTAAAGTCCTTCCTCTGGGGTGTTTGCTCCCTCGAACTGGAGCGAACACAACCTGAGGGGGAGACAAACTTTAAGTGGCTTCACTTGTTATTTGGAACTTAGATTTTGTAATATATGGGCTCACGATTAATCAAAATAAAGAAATTGTCATTATGACTTAGTTACAACCAATCAAATTAAAGCTTAATTTAACCCCTGGAAATGAAGGCCATTCTTTTTAATATTGCCTTAGTTTATTTCTTTCATGGTGTTTTTATTCAGTAAAATGAAACTCTTGTTTATATTTTTGGTAATACGTTTTTAAATGTAGTCCTAGCAATAAGAGAAATTGCTATTTGTTTTTCCAAATGGTGCAGCCCTTTGACACAGTTCCTAATTCTTTCTCCTATCTGTGCAGTGAATGGTACGGTTACCACTTCCCAGAGCTAATAAAGATAGTGAGCGATAACAGTACATACTGTAAGATGGCCAAGCTGATCGGGAACAGGAAGGAACTGAATGAGGAGATGTTGGAAGCTATGGAGGAGATCACAATGGACAGTGCCAAAGCTCAGGCAGTCCTTGACGCGTCCCGAAGCTCTATGGGTAAGATAAGCTCACTGATGTCATGAATATAGCTCGGTGCGAGTGTCTCGGATGTTATGATGTTCTAATAATCTGTCAATCCACTGAAACCATGTGATGACAACATACCACATTAACTGAACCTTTGAGTCACTTCAGCTCAACCAGTTTAAGTATTCCTTTGATTTGTACTAAGTTTGTGTATTATTTTTTTTCTGAAGGTATGGATATCTCTCCTATTGACCTGATCAACATTGAGAGCTTCTCCAATCGTGTGATTTCTCTCACAAACTACAGACTGGAACTGCAAGAGTACCTGCGCTCCAAAATGGGCCAGGTGGCCCCAAATCTCGCGGCTCTCATTGGTGATGTGGTATGTGTTTGTTTGTCTCCCCATCCCAGAGTAAAATGCATGTTTGAGCTGTTTTACCTGGAAGCAACTTGCACTGAGATCTTAATGTCAGTGCCATTGTTTTTGATGGACTCCAGTAATGTTTAGTAAAGCTACTTAAATGTCCTTATTGAACTAAGGCCCAAAGCCTGGTTTGTGAAACTAGGCCAATAAATATACAATTTTGTACAATGGACATTGAAAAGGCATATTTCTTAATGTATATAATTGTATTGTTAAAGTGAAAAATGTGTCCCCTGGAAATTTCTTTAAGATTTACCTGATCATGAATGTTTGTTTCTATAGACGTTCTTTTTTCTTTTAATAGGTTGGTGCCCGTCTCATCTCTCACGCTGGCAGTCTGACAAACCTTGCCAAATATCCCGCCTCCACCGTGCAGATTCTGGGGGCTGAGAAGGCCCTGTTCAGGTACTTGGCCACCCCTTCCCTGCTGGGGTTTCACACAGCTGCAGTGATGGCAGGGCCGGGGCGTAGCAGGAGCGGGTGATTTGGGGTGTCATTGAACACACTGTAAAATGATCCCGCTCGATCTCACGTACCCCCCAGTCTGAGCAGCTGCTGAGGGTTTTGAGAGGTAGATACATTTGAAGATGCCCTGTTGAACACATGACATGAATTAGTCTCGAGTTTCTAGTATAGTAGTATATTTGAAGTAATTTGGCCAAAACAGTAAACAAAAAAAATATTGGGTCGAAATAGTTTTTATCTTAGAATAGCAATATGTAAAGTTAGTTAGCCTTTTTAACTTCACTATGACCGTTTTAATTGGTCCTAACATTCTGTACAGCATAGTTTAATTAACAACTTTTTTGGGGCTAAATGAGAGCTTTCATTTTGGGTACTGGACTAAAACTTGGTGCATCACTAAATGGATGCGTTTGAGACTGCCGTTGTAGATGGATTTTGTTCTGTCCTGTGAATTAGGGCGCTGAAGACCAGAGGAAACACCCCAAAGTACGGTCTAATTTTCCATTCGACGTTCATTGGGCGTGCCGCTGCCAAGAACAAGGGTCGCATCTCGCGTTATCTGGCCAACAAGTGCACCATTGCATCACGCATTGACTGTTTTTCTGGTGAGGGTCCCATCTTTCCTCGTTTTTTCCCTCTGCTTGGCTTTTGCTATGATGCTTTTATTTTTCGTCAACAGTAACCCACCTCAGTGGTTGTTGAAATTGTAATCCTGAGCAGAACTTTGGGCCAAACACCTTTTTAGTTGCACTTGTTTGTTATCTTGATGTCTTTGTTCTTTTCACACAGAGGTTCCCACGTGTGTGTTTGGTGACAAGCTTCGTGGTCAAGTAGAAGAACGTCTGGCCTTCTATGAGACCGGTGAAGCCCCACGGAAGAACCTGGATGTCATGAAAGAAGCTGTTGCAGAGGTGACGACTCAACCATAGCAGCGTTCAGAAACCAGAACAACATGGGCAAATTATTAGTCACTTAAAAGTTTCTTTTTAGCTAGCTATGTAATGTTAATCATGTCCAATAACTATCTAATGTATCCAAGGTAATGGAACGTTTTTGCTTGAAATATCTAATATCATTTAAATACTACTTTAAAATATATATATGTTTTAGAGCCTGACCGATAAAGTATTTTGAAGGCCGAAAGGATTTTAAATCAGATTTTTTCCGCTACCTATTTTTTTTTTTTTTTTTACTGCTTTTTCATATCTAATAATGCCTTTTAAAGTGCTGATTGTGAATATTTCTAACTATGAATTGCTGTTACTATAGTTCTTGAAGTGCTGTGAGTGATGATTCTTCTTTCCTGACTCCTACATGGAGGCTTTACTGATTTAATGAGCCTGACACAGCACTTTAAATTTTGGGTTCTACAAGGTTTGTACAAATGCAGATACGTGATTATTTTATTTCTCGACCGCAGGCTACTGAGGTGACTGCTGAAATCAAGCGCAAGCTCGAGAAGAAGGAAAAGAAGAAAAAGAAGCGTGAAAAGAGGAAACTAGAAGCTCTTTCCACAGCAGAAGGAGATGACGAGAAAGCCAATGGCGATGCTGAGGTACTTGTGATTTAACATTTCATCTGTGTCATTTAGCACAGGGGTATAAAATAACGTTTCAAATTATTCACATAATTTGATGTAAATAACAATCATGTAAGATTGGTTTAAATATACTTAAGCACTATAGTGGAAAAAAAGAAACCGAGTATAATTTTAGTATTGATCATTTTGGGTTCCATGGCATCTAAAGATTGAAAGACATGTAGCATGGCTATACTGGTGGCTGGACCTTCTCATGGACTGGTCTCATATCTTGTCATGCTAAAGCAAATCTCCTCCGAACCATTGACAGGCCCAACTCTGTGGGTTTGATCACTGAAGTGAGCAGGACATGATCATCTCTTGAGCTTGATAATCTGAAGTCTGTTTCAAATGTGGTGTTAATGGCTTCCTTTTGTTCTTCAGGAGAAACCAGAAGAAAAGAAGAAAAAGAAAAAGAAGCTGGCAGCTGAGACGCCACAGGTGGAGGAAGAGGTCACGACAAACGGTGGTGAGGCCACGCCTTCTAAGAAAAAGAAGAGGACAATTGACGTCGTGGAGGCGGAGCCTGAGGTGACGGAGGAGGCTGATGTGACACAGGTGGAGAAGAAAAAGAAAAAAAAGAAAAAGAAGGCTGAGGAGGATGAATGAGCGTGTTCCTTCTGACTGGACTTTTTCAGTATTGTACAGTTATTTTTGTTTCATTTATGAATGTTGGACTCAAGAATAAGATGTTTGAGAGCTGCGCGTAAGAAGAGTGATGTTTTTTTATATATACAAACTGCTTTTATTTCCTGTCATTTTCAAAGCACCTTTCTGAAACCGTTCATTTATGTGCCTTGTAATAAAATGACGGCCCTTTGGCATCAGTGAAAAGATTTCAAAGCTTTGCCATCCAAGTTTCACTTTTAAATGTCACATGCTTTAATTGATAAAGGTTTTTCTTGAAGTGTGCTAGTTTGATTATTCATTAATCTGATTTGGAACTGTTTGTTGTAAAGCATATTTTTAGTTACACGTACTGAAATTTATTTACAGAGATGGAAAAATGAACTGTGGTGTCAACCTAGCTCGTATTTGCAAGTATTCCATCTAATGATTCGTTATGCACAAATGAATGGCATTTCAATAAATCAATGTGATTCTGTAACTGTTCAGCTGTTCCTGTCATGTTAGAAGAAAACATGGCATTAACAAATAAACAACTTTACAAAGGAGTCAAGTTTGTACAGTAGTTAAGTAATGGCTAATATGACCATTAACTTTTATTACTTTTTCTAGCAGTTATTCTTGGGTAATGTTAAATTAAATTATACGTTAAAGGGATCAGTCATCAAAAAGTGAAAATTCTGTTACTTACTCGCCTTATGTTTCAAAACTGTATTCTGTTGATATCTTGACCGGTTTGTAACCCAACAGTTGACTCTAGCCAATGACTTGCATGGTATTTTTTTCCCTACTATGGAAGTCAATGGGTATTGTCAACTTAAGGATTAGGAAAGTGACAATTTTAACTTTTGGGTGAACTTTTTGGGAGACACTATAGAGCTTGTACATTAAAATGTATTTACTTTGCAATGACAATTTTGTATGAGATTAATTTATAATTATACAATGAGTCGGCAATGTTAAAGGGGTAGTTCACTTTGAAATTTATTTTTGTTATGTTTTAGCTTACCTCAAGGGCATCCAAGATGTAGGTGTCTTTGTTTCCACAGTATTTTCAATTTTGTCATTTTTCGGTCAAACCAGTGTTGTCTGTCAGTCATATAATGCAGGTTTAGGGGGTCCACCTCAAAAAGCATGCACAGAGAAGTCAAAATTAAACATGATTTAATGACTCATAAATGTAAGTACACATTGATGGCCTAAGACACGAAACGAACGGTTTGTGTGAGAAAATGAACAGTATTTATATCGTTTTTACCTCTTGTTAACAGCCGTCAAACTGATCTGAATCAAATGTCCAACTGAACCGTCTCCAAAGTTACGCCGGAAGTGATCTCACGTGTTGTTTACAGGGAGATTTCAGAAGTTTTACCTTTCACTAAACATATTTAGATATAAGAGAAATCGCAATGGAAGACGATTTCGATATATCTTAATATGTTTAGTCCTTACGACTTTATTCATCAATTTCTTCTGCACATTTTTTAAGGCACATTTATAAAAGCTACTTAATGTCCTAAGGCCTAATTCTTACATAATCACAAAGCCCCATTATGAATTAATGTTAAATTAACCTCAAATTACAAGTTTTAAAAGTGCATTTTTACCCATGTCATAGCAATGCAAGTGTATCAGTTTCATATGTTGGATAAGTTATATTCTTATTACTGCTCGTGTGTGCAAAATCAGACTGAAATGAGTAAACTGGACAGTTTTATTTTGACAACAAGGGTAAAACCAATGTTAAAATGAAATCTGGTCTAAAATGCTACCATTTAGCCAATTTGGTGGGTGGGAGGGATTTCACAAATGAAGGGCAGAGGGACCAAAATTAAGAACTGAAATTAAAAATCCCCCTCGATAGAAAAAAAGTTCACAGGTGAAGGGGGGGTGGGAGAGGAGCAAAATACAAAAGTTAAAAAAAGGCTTCACCATCAAGTGATCAAGCTTAGCAGTAATGTACATACATTATCAGGGGTATGTATACAAATAAAAACTCCCATGTTTTAAATCATGATGCCTGCTCTGCTTCAAGTATATTAACTCTTCTGTTATGCTCTCATCACTTCTGTCATCATATCCTCTTAGCCAGTTAGCAATGAAAAAAAAAAATTCCTTCAAAAACAAAATGCAGAAAAACCACATTTTATATTCTACCAATACATATATACTGTATAAATACATACATAAATATACTTTACATACAACAGCCAAAACTTTGAAAAGGGGAAATGAGAATGTAGGAGGATGAGGATGATGGTAGTGTACGGGCGTCCCTCTGCTCTGATCGGCGTGTCGTTGGGTGCGGGACGGCACCTGGACTATGCTCAGTTGCCCCAGTAGGGAGAGCTGCCATAGTTGGACTTGTTGACCTGGGTCTTCTGCTGCATGACGCTAGACTGGCTTCTCTGGTTTGGCCCACCCTGTGTAAACAGACACACCAGACAGATGAGCTTACAAGGGGGAAAGGTTACCACGTTGACGACTTTTTTACTTACATCTATACCATCTTAAAGGAACACTCCGACTTTTTGGGACTTTAGCCTATTCACCTTACCCCCCAGAGTTAGATAAGTCCATACATACCTTTTTCATCTCCGTCCGTGCTATAAGTCTGTTTGACGCACCCACCGCTAGCCTAGCTTAGCACAAAGACTGGATGTGAATGGTTGCAGCTTTCATACTAATCCAAATGAGTGACAAAATAACGCAAACATTTTCCTATTTACATGTTGTGGTTTGTATAGTCACAGAGTGTGCAAATATCAAGGCCATATGAGACACAGACATCTTTTGACCGTATAAATACTATATTTTCTGAAGGCGAAGCACTGCTACTTGGGCAGAGTGATAACAATCACCTGAGACGCACCGTGACGAGGAGCAGAGAGTTCGCTTCGCTCAGCGTTGGAATAAAGAGTCAGCAATTACTAACGTTAGATAGAAAAGCATAGTTTATCATGGGTGTTTGCTTTATTGTATGAGCTGTGACAATAAACAGGGGAGACCAGGTAATACAGTACCATTTTTCATTGATTTCCAACCAAAAACGCACCCAGATTTATAAATATCACATGAATAAATAATTATTATTACAGGAATCAATATATTTTAAATGCAATTTAACCAAATGAACCAAATGTATTCAACAGTAGCCTATATAATATACAGTATTGCATTACTATAGGATAGAATAAGGGGAAAGTAATAGCACAAATTGTTTTTGCACAATGAACTCACAGCCTATCGTACCCTTTTGCACGCTCAAGTTCGTTATTTCCATGGTTATTTCAAATTTAGGCTACTAGGCGCGCCGCGCGCAGGGTGCAAGTTCAACGCGGTAAACGCGCTCGTTTTTTTTCCCCAAGCGCGTCCGCACCGCATCAAGATAAAAACATATTCATACCCTAATCATATAATAGTGTCACTAACGTTACATTAGATCTGGCTAATAATGGCACTGTTACAGTAGGTCATCTAAAAACATAACGGAACACTTACCTCAGCCGCAGGTGATCCACTTGTCCTGTCTGTGCTATCGATGGGATGGCCGTATCCTTCAGCACATTATGGTCCGTGTGGCAAATTCCATTTTTTCAAAATAGTCGTCCTCATTGAAATGTACCGAGCAAACATAATGTCCCTTGATAATCTTAGGTGTGTTTGGATAAATATCCAGAGTAAGTTAGCCATTTCTTCATCCAGTCAGCGTTTTTAGTTGGAATTCTGTGAAACATGGTATTACCTCCCCTGTTTACTGTCGCAGCTATTTACAACAGAGCGAAAACCCATGACTCTAAACTACGCTTTTACTATTTATAAATTGCTGACTCTATTACCCAAACACCGAGCGAACTCTCCGCTCCTCACCACGGCGTGTCTCCGGTGATGCGGTTATTACGCCGTCAAAGTAGCAGTGCTTCGCCTTCAGAGAATAGTTCCCAGGTTTTATACGGTTAAAAGATGTCTGTGTCTCGTTTGACTTTGTTATTTGTACATTATGTGACTATACAAATCACAACATGTAAATAGGAAAACGTTTGCGTTATTTTGCCACTCATTTGGATCAGTATGAAAGCTGCAACCAGTCACATCGAGTCTTTGTGCTAAGCTAGGCTAGCGGTGGGTGCGTCAAACAGACTTATAGCACGGACGGAGATGAAAAAGGTATGTATGGACTTATCTAACTCTGGGGGGTAAGGTGAATAGGCTAAAGTCCCAAAAAGTCGGAGTGTTCCTTTAATACTTGAAGACGGTATAGCCATGTTCTCTGTGACAGAAATTACAGTAAAAGTATAAAATACATTTATTCATTTTTGTCCTTTTTGGTTGATGTAGATTTCAATAATATCTCAGACTCCGTATAAGGGTTTTGTTTCGAGACTTTGTGTGAATAGACCGGGACTGACCTGTCCGTCCTGGGTGAGGTGATGATGGAGCAGCTGTGAGTGGGGCTGCTGGTGTGCCGGCAGAATGTGAAGGAATGGAGCAGGATAACCAGGGGCAGCCCCAGGGGTCAAAGGTCCCGTGCCGCCCAGAGCCGAGGGGAGGTTGAAAGGAGGAGGTGTGCCAGCATGGAAACCCTGCTTATCAAACGGCTGCAGTAAAAAAGTACACGGACACACACAGACATTATATAACTAATATTTCTCTCTTTATATAAATACATTTATATAGAAATGTCTAGGGTCAGTTTTTTTGAAAAAAAAAAAAAAAAAATCAGCAAGGAAGCATTACACTGATCAAAAGTGACTATAAAAACATTTATAATATTCAAAGATATTTATATTTTAGAATGCTGTTCTTTTCAACTGAAGGATCAATGTGACGCAAATTACATTTTAAAATACATTGCAATAGAAAAGTATTTCTGATCAAATACTTGTAGCCTGGTGAGCAGAAGAGACTTCTTTCAAAAACATCTTACCAACCGCAAAGTTTTGAACGGTAGTGTATATGTGTTTGTGTAAAGCGTAAATTAATTAAAGCACCTGTGTTTTATTGTAAACAGTTCCACTGATGTCTGGCACCCCAGAATTGCTAGATGTCACAGAGACAACTGGGACACAAATTGATGCATCAATTATTTGAATTTAGTGGACAGGGTCAATTAATAGATAAAAACTGAAATTGTGAGTTTGTACCTTTCCCTGGGCCAGAGGCAGCAGATTTGGCCTGTGTTTGAGACGAGTTACTATAGCCTTTGCTGTACTCGGTTCCTGCTGGGCCTTGCGTCAGGTCATCATACCCTTGAAATAGAACAAAACTATACTTTAACACTCAACAGCAGCACAGAGTATGCATGAGAATGTGTGCATGCGTCTAATCTGCACAAACCTGAGCTGAAGGCGTGCTGGCCGTAGCCGCTGGGCTGCTGGAATGGCGTGGTGGGGTTGCTCAGACCCATCCCATGCTGCTTGGCCGAGTTAGGGGGCACGAACATGGTGGGGCCATACTGGAATGCGCTGGGCACGCCAGGCACCCCGGGGTAGTAGGGAAGGCCTGTATAGCTGTATCCAGGGGGGAGGGCTGGGTTTAGAAAGGTCTGTTGGGTGTTGTGGTGGCCCTGCGGCTGGGGCTGGTTCTGTCCTTGGCTCTGAGCCTGCGGAGGCTGTGCCGTCTGTGGGCCGTGAGCAGCAGACAGGCTGGCAGAGGGTGCTGGTGAGGCGGATTCACCTCGGCCAAACTTTGTGATGTCACCTGAGTGGAGAAAAAAAAAATACCAGATACTTTTTATTTTCTACTTTAATCCACACAGATGTCATGAATCAAAGCTTCTAGACCGATAAAAAAGCAACTGAATATAGCATATATGCAGTACCTGAGTAAGGGTTGTTGGCGAGGCTTCCATCTCTGCCAGACAGCGTAGCAGTCGGCCCTGGGAATGTGATTCCATAATAATCCTACAGGGATCACAAAACGCAGAGATTGCAGAATGAACAACATTTGTCTAGACTAGGGCTGACAATTGATTGTCATTCAAATAATTGTGTTTAGCAAATCATTTTGTCAGTTATTTACATCTTAAAATGTATTATACACGCACAGATTTATTAACAATGAACTTGAAAAATTAGGTCTACATGATTTTAAGGCCATGTGAACAAATACTGCACAGGGCAGATTTTATTTTATTTTAAGGAATATTTAAATATTTCCATTAATGCTTGAATATTACAGTAATATAATTAGTTGTTTTATTATATAATAATAATTAATTATTATTATGACAATAATTACATAAATATATTTGACCTAATTTCTTCGCTGGATTTCAATCATTTTTAAATGATTTAATACCTTATTTAGATGGTCATTTTAAATGGACTGGAATACACTGTGCACAATGATCATGTTTTCGCAAATATATCCCAAATTATGTAATAACTTCAATAAGTCTGGGTCAGGTCCATTTGTCTTTGGGCTTTTTGAGCTGATAACCACACATGCTTGGCACATAAACAGATGTTGGCTCTTCTGATGCTTCCCAAAATATTTCTATCATGTCAATGAGTGAATATCAGCAGTTGTTTTTGTCTACTATCATAAACAAACACATAGAATCACCATTCTACACTTATGTCGTTGAATGCCAGTCAACCAATAGTCAAGAAAATAGACATTTTTAAAAGGAAAATGTAAAGCTCAGAAGTGGATCTCCACCATTTTGATCTCAATGTCCCTTTATTGTCCACAACAAAATATGACCCAGATTAAAGACTAAAAAGACATTTATTCATTATAACAATAACCAAATAATAAGAAATATCTTGTTTTTAGTTGTTTCAGTTTATCTAAAATAAGACAAAACAACCAGTAAAATGATCATTAAAGTCATTAAAGTGATCAACCATTAAAGTCATCTTGAGGCTCTTTGTAAGTGTGTTGAGGCGCCCTGGTTGAGAACCACTGCTCTAATGCATTTGAAGAGGGAATTTGATGGTCTCAGACTCACCATTGGTAGTCTGGATTGGAGCATGTGGAGGTCTTCATAGCCATAAATCTGCTACACAACAAACAACAACTTTCAGCACCTTGCACACAATAGATGTTACTGAAATCTATATTCAGTATTCATTATTCACAGGCTCAGAGCTTGTACCGAGTCACATAATGAAATATGGATCACAAACTCTTTACAAGTCATGCTCACAATAACACACCATTTTACAATAGTCCATAAAAGCAACAACACTGAATCACCCAACCCAAAACACACACACACACAAATCCTGAAATCCCACATACACTACAATACTTTGCAGAGGGGTGAAATCTGATCTGTTTTGTTTTAAGAGGATGAGAGTTCTTACCGGGTAGGCAGGCAACAGACCTCCGGGTCCCATGATGTACTGGTTAGGCAGCAGCGGAGGAACCCCCTGAGAGAGATTAGGAGGAGCTTTACCTGCACAGAGACAAGGTAGAGTTGTTGGAGAATGAAGATTGCAGATTGAACTAAAAATGGAAGCAGGAGTTGCTGATAAGATTTAGGGATGTTGTTACAGTGAGGAAATTTGCTCACGGTTATATAAATTTGCGACATAACCAGTATTACTGATAACACTAGGGGGCTTTTTGCTTTTGATCACGTATACTCTGTGTATAGGCCTTTCATTTCCAAAGGATCTATATGCAAATTATTGAAATCGCTTTTAAATGTGAACTCTTTCACTTTCAGTGTCCTGATCATGTGTATTCTGTGTAGTGGTACTGACCGCACATTTTACAAGATGAGATATTTAACATCTTTAGCACAACAAATCATCTGTCCTGTCGGTCATTACTCCTTACTCTCTTCGTGTGATAAGTAATTTGATTCTGACTCCACTAGCTGCAGTCACAGCACATTAGCAGTATGGAGCAGAACAGACTCTTTCAGTTTATCATTGTAGTGTCCATTGTCCAACTGAACTAAATTTTATTTGTATAAAATAGCTAAAAGACAGTGTCGGTAACCAGTAAACGTAACACTGACAAACGCAGCAAGCCTAATTAGATTTAAAGCAAACATGAAAATTATGAACACCTTTTCTTGTTTATCCATTATACATGCTTGGAACATGTTTACAGAATTATTACAGAATCAGTGGTGGAGGAAGTACTGAATCTCAGTACTTAAGTAAAAGTACAAATACCCAGATAAATATTTACTTTAGTAAAAGTAGAAGTAACACAATGACAACCATACTTAAGTAAAAAGTAAAAAGTACTTTATTTTAAATGTACTTTAAGTATTAAAAGTAAAAGTACTTGCATAACAATTTATTATCTTAATGTCTATTTTCTAATGATTAATAAAACATTTAATTCTAACTCATTCAACCTAATAGCCTACTCCTATAATGATGTTCAATAATGATGGAAAAAAATGTCACCATTTCTGAAACAAGCTTGCAATTAGGCAATATCATGCTTATCCTTACTATATGTTAATAACTATGTTTGGCAGTAAACACGATTAATTTATGGTGTAATTCTGAACCTCTTGGCTTGCCATAATCCTAACCAAACGTATATTACACACGGTGTGTTTCCTATGCACGTAAAAACAAATTTTCGCGTATGAGTTGCGTGATAAACACACTGCGTGTGAGACGCATTTAGTGTGACCGGGTTGATGTACTGTATCTACGGCAACCAAACGTCACCGGTGAGACAAACGTGCAACGAACATTACGTTTTGGCAGGGGAAAAACTGATCAGAAAATGTAACGAAAATGTAATAGAAGTTGTAGAAATGTAGTGGAGTAGAAAGTATAATAATTGCTGCAAAATGTAACGAAGTAGAAGTAAAAGTAGGCTCTATTTATTGTACTTAAGTAAAGTAAAGATACGTGAAAAATGTACTTAAGTAAAGTAACGAAGTATTTGTACTTCGTTACATTCCACCACTGTACAGAATTGTCCATAAGTTGGCCATTCCTGATGTATCACAGATTTCACAAAAATATCAAGCAACTGTTTTCAACATTGCTAATAGGAAGAAATGTTTCTTAATCACCAAATGTGACACTGGAGTAATTCAGCTTTAGCATCACAAGAATAAATTACATTTTAAACTATATTAAATAGAAAACAGTTATTTTAAATTGTAATATTTCACTGTTATATTACCGTATTTTTGATTTTTTCAAATCCCAATTAAAAGTGCTATTAGTACTTCATTGTACTATTTTATTTAATTAGGAAAGCTTAGAAATAACTTAAGATACAAGACTTAAAACGCCAACACTCTAACCCTACTTATAAGTGTAAAAGTACATCTAAATGACACAAATGATGTTATGATACTACATGGTGTTGTGATCATTTCTGTGTGTGCTCTCTCACCACTGGAGGAAGACAGTAGCGGGGCAGCCCTGATACCGGAAAGTGCGCTACCATTGGTGCCATGACCCAAAATTCCAGACCCGTGCAGACTGTTGCCGCCACTCGTAGCATTGTTCACGCTGCCGCTGGACAGAGCGGACACAGGCTGGGAGGAAAATGCCATCGATGAGGGGGCGAGAGAGTTCACGCTGTCCACACTTGTATACTGAGGACACATACACGCACACGGAGTCGTTACAGACAGTGAAGGTGGTGAGGAAAGAGTGTGTGTCAGTGTATCATACAGAACTCACTGTGAGTGAAGATGTGGTGCAAAGTGCCGACACAGAGGGATGGCCACTGCTCACATGACTACAGGAAAAACAGGCAGTGTCACAGATATATGTAGCCCACATAACATTCTTCAAAACATGAAATCAAATGCAAATAAATGGGTAATACAAAGAAAAGGTGAAACTTGAGATGAAACATCTCGCTCACCTGCTGAGGGGAGGTAAGCTGGCAGAGGACAGCTCAGATGCCAGGCTGGGCAGAACAGAGCTGTGTGGTGTAACGGAAGGGGGCAACAGTGAGGATGGGGCGGAGGGGGCAACACTTGTGCTGCTGACCAGAGAAGGAGACTCTTGTTTTGGAGTGGAGGAACTCGATGTGGCTGATGGAGAAGGCATAAAATGTCATATTACAAAAAATAAAGTAGTTAAAAAGCAAAGTTAAATCTTTAATGCATAACACAGAAAGAAGGGTAAAACTGATGAGTGTGACTTACTGTCTAAAGCAGCAGAGGTCCTCGCACCATTGAAACCGTTCTGTCAGAGATGCAAACAAAGAATACTGAATCAAATCAATATTAGCAGCATAATCTCCTTGTTGTACGGTGCACTAAAGAAATAGTGCATCCATGGTGCAACATGAGAGCATGTGCACAACCGTTCAAAAGTTTGGGGTCACAAAGATTGTTTTATGTTTTTGAAAGAAGTCTCTTCTCTTTTTATTCAATCAAAAATGCAGCATAAACAGTAAAAATGTGAAATAACCGTTTTAATACATTCTAAAATGTATTTTAAACCAGTGATGGCAAAGCTACATTTTTCAGCATGATTACTCCAGTCTTCAGTGTAACATGACTTTAAGAAATCATTCTAATATGCTGATTTGGTGCAAGAAACATTTCTTACTATCAATGTTGAAAACATTTTATGATTTCTTTCATGAATAGAAAGTTCAAAAGATTGGCATTTATTTGAAATAGAAATCTTTTGTAGCATTATACGAATTAACAACTGTATTTCTGAGTCTCTGAAGCTAACTACCAGGGTTCCTCAGGGCTCAATATTAGGGCCCCTCTTATTTAGCCTTTATGTCAATGACTTGCCTAATGTCTGCTCTGAGGTGGAATGTTTAATGTATGCGGATGACACTGTTCTATTTGTTCATGGTCGCTCTAAAGACATTGTTGCAGATAAACTAACTAAAGCCATGACTCGTGTTACATCCTGGTTACAGGAGAACTGCCTGCAACTAAATATTTCAAAAACTGTTGGTATGTTCTTCATGAAAACCAATTTAGCTTCATTTAATCCGGACATAATAGTTGCTGGAGAAAAATTACAAATTGTAAATCAATACAAATATCTTGGCTTAGTAATAGATTCACATCTCTCCTTTAAAGCCCATATTAAACAATTATGTAAAATAATTCAGTTTAATCTAGCAAATTTCCGCTCAATTCGAAATGATATGTCAACCAAAGCTGCACAAATTTATTTACATTCTATGATTTTCAGCCACCTCAACTACTGTTTAATAAGTTGGTCTCAAGCAAGTCAGAGTGCAAAAAGACCTTTGGAAACATTATATAAACAAGCCATTAAAATCATGGACAAAAAACCAAGGCACTATCATCACTGTGCAATTTTAAAAAAAAACAGACTTTTAAACTGGGACAGTATTCATAAGTTTTTTGATTTGAGTCTTATATACAAAGTGACACATGATTTGGCCCCAGCTCCTCTGGCTGAGTTCATCACCCAAAGAAACAGCTCTGAGCGTATCACTCGAGGCTCTGCCAGAGGGGACTGTGTCGTCCCTCTGCGCAGGAGCGCTTTTAGTCGCTCGGCCTGGTCAGTGAGGGGTGCTGCTGAATGGAACTCTATACCTGAGGAGGTTAGACAGCTCAATACTTACAAGGCTTTTACAAAAAACTTGAAAATTTGGCTTATTAACAATTATGTCTGCCAACATTAAAAGCCGAACCAAGAGCTGTATTATATATTTAATATATAGTCTTTTTGTAAATGTGTTTTTGTGCATTTTATTATTGTAATAGGCATAGTGTACCCTATGTTATCTTATAGTGTTATTTAGATATTTTTTAGTCAATTTTCTATAGACCTATAAATGTATTTTCTTGTTTGTATTGTAATGCTTTTTTACATCTTGGCCAGGGGACTACAGATGAAAAATAGCCTTTTGGCCAATTCTGGCTTTTTTAACCATGTTTGTTCATGCGTTTTGTGAAATTGCACTGTCCCCTTTTAAATAAACCAATAAATCAAATCAAATCAAATTATAAATGTCCATGCATATTTGCTGAATAAAAGTATTATTATTAAAAAAAAGAAAGAAAGAAAATCTTACTGAACCCAAAGTTTTAGTCGGTAATGTAAATGATGGCAATTTTCATTTTTGGTTGACGTAGCCCTTTAACTGAGAATAGCTGTGGAAACTAAGGTTTCTATGTGTGCACCTACCGTCACAGGTCCAGAAAGCTCCTTGCTCTGAGAAAAGGTCAGTCTTGAGTGAGGGGCCACACCGCAGTCAAAGCTGTTACCCGCCGATGATGCAGCGGAGGAGGAAGAGGAAGATAAGGAGGACGAGGGGGCTGTCACCGAGCTGGGGGTGGTGTGGGAGGGAGCGAGGCTGGGGAGAGGTACTGAGGGAGAGGGGTAGATGCTGTCAGAAGAGGCCAGAGGCAGCAGCAAAGGGACCGGACTGGTCAGAGATTCACTGCAGGGGAGATCATGGGAAACATATTAGCATGCAGAATGGAGAGTTTTAAAGCTAAAAGACAGCACACTGGTTTGAAAGTCATGCGTTGAGAGATTTAGGAAAATCAGCAATACATTTAGTCCACTGCTCAAAGAAAAAGAAAAGGTACTTAAACTCAATTTAGACAACAGCGAGACCATTTTGTCTTCATTATGTCCATTTCTCCCACTGACTGACCTGATTGGTTTAGAGTAAAGGCTGCTCTGTGACTGAGGAACCACTGCAGCCTCCCTTATGGGTTCACTGTTGCAGTTCTCTGACTGGCCGAAGTCTGGCAGGGCAGATTCTGAACCAAAGTCCAGGGCACCAAACTGCACATTTAGACCAGACACATCTGCTGACCCGGGCATCTCTACCGCTGATGCAGGAATCTGGATGTGTACAAACACATGTAAATCACACAGCATATACTGACAAAACATCAACAAAAAAGCTTTGTAACAGTTCATTTTCCACTTTTTTCAACAATAATATTAAAAACTGTTTCTTGATCACCAAATCAGCATATTAGAATCAGCATTAAATTACATTTTAAAATAAAATAAAAACACTGTTGCTTCAAATGAAGAGTTCAGATGCAAAAGCCTCTAAATGCCATTTGAAATTTTCTTCTTTAATGATGATTTATCAAACTTGTATATGTAAGTTCAGTAATTTCACTTAAATAACAATTAATAGGTGATTATCATTGCCATTTAAGTGAAATCACTGAACTTAAATATACAAGCTTGATAAAAAATTATCATTCTAGAAGAAAATTTCAAATGGAACTCTTCAAATTGTAATTTCACAATATTACTGCTTTTACTGTATTCCTGATCAAATAAATAAAAAAGCAATTTTTGACTTTTCAAAAAAAAAAAAAAAATCTTACAGACTACAGAATGTGCCGTTTAGAGGAGTAAACACATATGCAAAAGAAAAATTAAGAAACAATATGGACTATTTAATTTCCTAAACCATGCTCGAGCAATTCATTTGTGTATTTTCTTCTTCATAACTTGCTCCCCCTCCATTCTGGTAACACCCAGTTTTTACGATTTAATAAATTCCAGATGGATAAAATCAAGCCCAACCCTCTACTCTTTTTGGCTGAAAATCCCACTGAACCCAGAAATAAGGCCAGCTTATATAAGCAAAATAAGTTGTGACGGCCATTTTATGCATGTTTATCTACAAACTGTACCGGGCAACAGAGAACTCACCAAGAGATCTTACAAAGCATTCCACCTCAGTGTATTTTAAATCTCAGTCACCTTGGAAGTGGGAGGTATCCGTCGCTTTTGGGTTTTTATCTGCCGCTGCTGTGTACTGCTCCCCTGAGACTCGGCAGCCTGTGAGGGGGCCATTGAGGGCCCATCACGGTGCTGTGATGGTTCCGGCGCTTTCGGAAAGGCTTCCAGTGTTCCCGAGGCAGGCGAAGGAGCACTCAGTGGGGGAGGGCTGGGCTGCCTGGCTAGAGGCCCCGTGTGGGTCAGGGAGCCCTGCTGTCGCTGGGAAAGTTGGCTTAGCACCAAAGATGGCTCTGGCTGCATCTGAAACTCCCCTACAGGGCAAACAATACAGAAAATGCCCGTTCACACTTATAAATAAGTAAAAAGTCAGATTTGGAATGAATAGGTTAATAGTGTTAATGCATAGCTACGTGTTTGCAAGTACAACCAAGTTTGTGTTTCCGGGAATTATAAAACTCACGACTGAATTGGGACGAGAGTGAAGCAGAGCTCTGTGTTCCAGGAGGTTTTATGTCCCAAGAAGAGGAGGGCACCGAAATCCCAGTCCCCACCAGCCCCCCTACAGGGGTGCAGTTGGTCCCTGTGCTAGAGGGTGGGGAGGTAAGCTGCCCAAGACCAGGCCCCTTCAGCTGTTCCAGTATTTGCTGCCCGGCCGTCTGCCCGAGTTTTGGACCACCCAGCTCCCCAAAACCAGAACCCAAAACAGAGGACTGGGAAAAGACAAAGGAAAGGTGCCATTAGGAAACCCATTCAGATCTCACTGTATCAGTACAAATGTCTTAGTCTTAAAATTACTAGCTAGAAATTAAACACCTGAAAATGAATAAAGTTTCTGAAAAGGTCCTATAAGCACCCAGCCAGTCATTGACATTCGTTCTCAAGGAAAACATTTGTGCAAGTGCTGTAAATCATGGCTGTGGATTGTCTCACCAGAGTGGCATGTGTGTAGCTGTTGGGGCCAGAAGATGTGCCTCCGTTTCGAGCAGGCTGGTGGTGGGAGTTGGTGAAGACCAGACTGTGGCCGAGCCCCTGAGAGGAGCCCACGGCCTTCAGACCCTCCGCCTCTTCTCGATCCACAGGCTTCTGCAGCAGCGATGACAGATCCAGACTACAACAGAAACGCAATACAGTCAGGGAAATAAACAAGACGTTATATTCACAATGCAATGCTATGATTGGAATTAAAAGAATAGATTTCCTTAAGTTTGCCTTTGCTGAACTCAAACACATGAACACAGAACCCCAGCTCTGACTATTACCTCTGGCCAGGTGTGATGTGGTTCTCAGTTGGAGGTGCACAAGAGGACGTGAACACTTTGGTCTCAGAGAGCTTTAGAGATCAAAACGTGCCAGTTAGTGCTTTTTTTTTTTTTTTGGCAGAAAAATGCAAAATATAGTATATGACTATAGTGTGCAGATATGAGGGAGATTTATAAAATAATACAATAAAAATATAAATAGTACAATAGCTATATTACAATTATATAAAATTATTATAATGTATATAATATGAAGAGATTATATAGATGTACAAAATATAAACATTACATTTATAATTATTTATTAAAGAATTCTAACTATAAATATATCATAATAAATAATAATATGGTGGTAATAATAATAATAATAATTTATTATTACTATACTATGTCATCGGTGATTATAAATAATTTGTATTATTAATTTATCAACTACATATGATGCTTTAACATTTCTGGACAACACATATACCATGTCTTTTCAAGCTTATTCATTTCAAGCTCTGTAAATCCCATAATTCATAGGAGGTTAATTATAGAGCATGACTCACACTCACATCTTCACTCCAGTCTTCAGCTGCCCACTCGTCCAGAGTATTCTGCCATGGCACTGAATGTGTCAAAGAGAGAAAGAGAGATGAGACTGGGCCAAAGGATCGTGAAAAGTTCTGTGCAACAGAGGCGAGTCTCTCACCTGTCCCATCTGTAGTGTCATTGGCCCCTGTCTCCCAGACATCAGCGTGCGAGTTTGATGTACCACTGTCTGTGGTGTAGTCTGCAGGGTTAAAGGTCCTGCAGGAGAATACACAGAGTGTGAGAAGGGGTTTTAGTGGCTATATTATAATGAAAATTGATTATAGGTTTAAATAACATTTGAGTGATACTCACCCCATCCCCTGTGCTGTAAACCTGCTGGTAACTGGAGCCCGACCTCTGCCTCTACCTCCAGACACTGTAAATAAATAAATAAAACCTCATAAGCACTTAGGATGGGTCAAGATGGTCAGACACCCCAATTGTCCTACAGCTCAATTTTTTTTTCTAGGAGTTTCATCTTTAAGGTATTTAGCACTTCAAATGGGGAAACGCAGCTTCTCAGAGGGTTTAATGCGCTGCTGACAGTCTATAGCTACTACAAGTGTCAGGGGGCTAAAACCCCAGGAGAAATGTATCCCCTTTAAAGCACAAAAAGTAACAAAAGGTTTGGTGGATTTATTTGTTGAATATGTGCTAGTCACCCTACTGAAGAGCCATATCCATAAATCTCTAAAAAAAAATAAAAAAAAAAAAAAAACATATGATCGGTGCTGGGTGGTTATGAGACTAATAACACAGGGATTCCCTAATAGACAAAACCAGAATAATTGAATTTGTAAACGTAGATTTGCACATCCCAAATAAGCACAATTGATGTAAATGATATGTTTTTACTGTGTGTGAGCTCACCTCTGCCTCTTCCCCTGCGGCCACGGTCAGCACCTCTCTCAACAGGAGCAGGCTCCACACCGTTCTCCTCTGTCCTTGCTATACAGATAAACATCATGAGATCAATCATAAGCCTTTTAAAGTGTAAAAACCTACTCCACACAATTAAACTGTAAAAACCAAGTACAAAAGTTGTTGCGCAATCACTATTCCCTCTGAATCTAATGCAAATTTTCGTTTTATTATTAAAGGGGTGAGGGGGGGATTTAAAATTCTGTTCCTTCATGAAAATCTATGGTTGCTGCAAATAGGCATATTATAATTAACCACAGCACAAATATGAAAATAGGTCACAAGGATGCAGAGATGCTGGCATTGCTATCCGTTTTCAAAATTGCACTTAAATATTGTCTAAATATTGCTGTTGGATACACTTATCCACTTTATGCACTGTCTATGATCGGATAGCTATATCAAGTGTAAATGCCCTCCGAAAAAGAAAGCAATTCGATCACCACAAAGGTGGTCTGAGATGCATTTCAGATGCATCTGGACAAGTGTAAATGTGTCTGGTTGTTAAAGCCAAACATGTATTTTACTCCTGCTAAAATGGCAAAAACAAAGATGTGAGAGCAACTTATACTGACTCCAGATAGCTAGAGGACACATATAGCCAGATATATACTACTACTCGCATCGCCACAGATGAGTTGCCTCTCCTCAGCAAGCAGACACACATACAGCAGCAAATTAAACAGAAATTTTGGCATTGCATCCTGAAGCTCAACACAGTCATCTTCATTAAAAGTAGTAGACAGATGCCGCTCCTATTTGATTAGCTGCTTTTGTTGATGTGAACTGAATGTGTGTATAATGCATGAATTGAAGATTGGATTTATATTTGTTTTGCGAACAGTGTAAAAGAACAATTTTAACAAGCGGGTTGCTATTCGATTAGTAAAAACACATTTAGAGATTAGTGTTAATAGGCCCTAAACAGCTATGTAAATAAAAACAAGGAAACCTCATCAACACACTGACCTGGCCTGTTGCGACTGGTCCCTCTGCCACGGCGACTCGCTCCTCCACGACCCCTGCTGCTTTCCCTCTCTTTCTTCTCCCTGTTCTCCTTGTTCTCCTTACTCTCAGTGGAGGTTCCATCCTTCCCAAGACTCTTCTTTTTCCCCACAGTTTCCCAAGAGGTCTGCAAGTAATAAAATTACTACTAGTCAGAACAAACAAAAAAAAGTAAAAGAAGATTGTTCAGCAGATGTTAGGTATCAATGAAGTTCCATTTACATAACTGATTTAAATACAGGTTTGCTAATCAGCACTCCTGAATCCTCATTACTGATGAAGGACATTTGGGAGCTTGTATTTGACACAGTGGTGGAGGCAGAGGTCTGTTATGACACAGGATTACCTTCTGATCAACACTACAGAAGTGACCCACTTACTATTTTTGAGCTTTATTCCCAGAAATAATTCAAACAAATCCTAGTCTATAAGAAGAGGCCTCTCAAATTTCACCACAAGTCACAGACTCTTTATCTCTGAAATAAATTAGCATCAATCACACATGAATATGAGCGTTACGTGCTGTTATATGTTTGTAGAGCTAAAAAAAAAAAGAAAGAAAAAAAATTCAGAAAAAAAGTCCAGCCACAAAACAGCTGACAGTAGCAAAAACATTTTAAACAAAACCAGTTTTACTTCACGTTTTTTGAATAACTTGTGTGTTTTAGTGCCTACTAAGTAGTCTAAGACCACATGTGCATTTGTTAAATGGAATTCTTACTGCATCAGAGGTTCCCTCAAGCAGGAAGTTGATGGCTCTGTTGACATCCTCGTTGCAGTCATGGAGAGCAACCATGCAATCGTCTTGGTTCTTCCCTGTGACCTCTATGAGCTATGAGCAAATATGGTTATATCACTGGGGTTATCAGAGGATTATAATTATAACTTTACTCTGATGGAAGAGAGCTTCTCATACCTGCATCACTTTATCCTCAAAATCTGCATCGTTCTTGTCATAGATCATCTGAGCCAGCCGGATCTGTTCAGCTGTAGCCTGCAATCGGAAGCACAAGTTATCAGAATGAGCGTCCAAGGATCTTAAGAAAAATTGAAATGAGAATTGAATGAGCAGTCAGATTCATGACCAAGACATGTCACATAAAAGTGGAAGTAGACATGGGACACTGAAAAAATATTATTGGCTACTAGCCTACTGTACCGTATATATACTGTAAAAGTAATTACAACAAAAAACTTTTCAAATAGGAGTCAATTCTTTCATCAAGACCTCAGTATGTTTCATTAAGCAAGTGGGGTCCATATCATCTCTGAAATAAAAATGTAAAAATGTAATGTAGTGAAAAATGTGTTGACTTTTAGTAGTGTAAATAAAAAAGGAATTGACTAATTAATTATTAATAAAATCATCCTCTTCAAAGCCAAAACACATTTGTCTTGCTCTGTTTTTTAAACATCCTAGCATAAGCACTGTGTGAAGACGTCACTTTAAAACAGTTCAACTTAGTTCAACTTATAAAGGTGCGGCTTAAAACCCCAGCCATCCGTTCCCCTTTGTGCTCCATCTAGCTGTTCTTTTTTAATGAAAGAGTATCTTATGAAAATCCCCCCTAAGAAAACTGGAAGGTCTAGCATATTGCATTCTGGGATACATTCCAGCAGAGTATGGTCATACTATATACAGCAGAAACGGTAAGAGCATGGTAGTATGTTATTCCTAACATAGCATGTGTTTCAATATGTTGTTGTTCACCCACCTGAAGCTGTTTCTGTGGCTGTGTGGTCTGTGTGGTAGTGGGCAGCGCTTTGTCCCGAGTGTCCCGGGCTCGTTCGATGCCCACAGAGGTCATCATATACAGTATATACAAAACAATGTATGTACAAAACAGAAAAATCTAGAAGAAAAACAAGGCCAAAAACAGGAAGTGGTTATTATTCGGAAAACATTTCCATGTCCTAGTTTCTAGTGCAAATATTTGGAGACACCAGATGAGGTTTTGTTCAAGCGAGCTAGCTGACGTTTCCCTTCAATGTCCAGCGCAGTGTTGGAGCAAAAACACAGGGGCAGTATCGGATTTCCTTTCTCCTAAACCCAGTTGGGCAAGATTGAGCAATACTCTGACCGCCAGAAACCCTTGTAGAAAAAACAATCATGCTTATCCGAGCCAGCTGAAATGAAGACCACGCCACGAGCCCACACTGGTGTCCGCTAACACTTCGCCACTATCCTGTAGTGTCCTTCTAAAACGTTCACACTCCGATCACATCACATAGCCATTCCTCATGCATACAAAACAAGAACTTAGTCGTAAAATTCTTGAATCTACACTGAAGCATGTATTGATGATCTAAAAATCTAGCTATTTCACAGAAGAACTGTTTACATAACAGAAATTTTCTTGCCAGACTCTGTCAGTCCTGCTCGTAAGTGACTCGTTTCCTTAACCACGAAAAGCACATTTACGCAACAACTTAAAATGTTGAAACAAGGTAATATTAAAGGGATGGCTCACCTTAAAATGAAAATTGTCATTGACTCATGTTGTTTCAAAAACATGAGTTCAAAAAAATCATGTTGTTTGTTGCCATGCTGATAAACTATCAGTTTAGAAAAAATAGCATCATAAAATTTGTACGATTAAAACTCTATATTACAAGTCTACTCAGTCCATATAATAGTTCTGTGTGATAAAAATGTTGATATTCACAATTAAATCCAGGGCTAAATGCTAAGGATTTTTTCTTCCATTTTTTACTTGCCCTATCAATACTTTCACAAAAAAGTGACAAATACTTTTTAAAAAGTGTTACCGTTTTCACTGTAATAAACGACGCCAAAATTTTAGATACAAGTGAAATTTCTAGCCTAACTAAGTAAAAATGGTTAAACAAGAATCAGTTCTAATCATAGACTGAAAAAAATGGCCCTAATGTCCACGTTTCTGAAGAGCATTTTTGAAGCCCAAAGTAGGCGGAGCCGATAAACGAATAATCGATAAACCGATAATCCCAGATAAACGAAAATGGGCAAAAAGGCAGGATTATCTGAGGTGACGTGACAGCTAACAGACAGGAGACAAACTGCTTATGTATTTTTTTCTTAAGTAAAGTTGGGCATTGTCTCTCTTTTGGAGCCTGTCTCTAACGGCCAGTCCATGAATTGCAGTTTAAGTCACTTCCGTGTTGGATTCAAGAGAGAGACCGGAAGGTTGCCACTTGGTTATAATATAACACCAGACAGTCCTTATAGTCGAGCCCTGAAATCTAATTTTCATAGATTCAAAGGCACCAAGTTTGATGTTAACGATGCTGTCGATGCTATCCGGTTATCGGTGCCGATTAATCTGCAAAACCGATTCATCGGATGACCTCAACTAAACGCCAATGTTTCTCACATTCAGTAACCAATTGTGTTTGAATATCTGGAAGTGCGAGTAATATCTGCTGGATAAGGCAGGGCAATATGTAAAAACAAATAGGCCTAACTTATAGATATTCCACTTATTAAAAACATTGTAGAATCCGATTATATCATCTACCCATGTTTTCGTTCTGTGAACCATTTTAATCGCTGTCAAAAATAGGCTGTAGGCTAACTACTAGAGTAAATATTTCATCAATGCTCTTGCATTGTGTGTGTGTGTGAATGTGTGTGTGACAAAAATAGCCAACCGGCATCTTGTCCATAATACCTTTATTGTTCCACACTCTACAATGCGAGTAAATCACGTGAATAAATCAATGTCATGAGATGACAAAAAATAACTTTGAATTAGCCAATGGCTAGTAAATTGTATGATTACAGTTGCCTGTAATTGAGCTTGAAGCAAAAAAAAAAAAAAGAAATGAATTGCCTGCTGAGCTTTGCGTCGTTTTCTCTCACACATGTGCACTCACTGTGAGATAAAGAGAGCACTACAGGGCTCGTTGACCTCACCCAACTTTTATTGTCTCAATCTGACCAGTGCTGCTCCTCTGTTATGAAATTGTATCATTTGCACGTATTTTAAAGTCTATTTAATCCCTCAAGCGTAAAACGACCGTAAAGACAAGTCACTTGCGCAAGAAGTTTTGTCTGCTGAAACTGCACATCTGAAGCACACGTCCAGAAAGCCACTTCAGAATTAAGACATTATGTCAATTATGTTAAAATTTCCGTCTTGGCAACAATCTTATTATTAAACATAGTCGGTTGTGTCTTAAGTGAACGTAAACCGTGCATTGTCTTAAAGTGACAGCAGCATATTATTCCTGCTGTCTGTTTTTAATGTTAATCAAGCAACAGATAAAAAAAAAATCATTCAATGCTCTTGACTGAATAACTTTTGGAACTTTAATAAGGATTCATCTATATTGTGAAGACTATGCAGTGTAATTTTACTTTTGATTGGCCTTTATTCAATTTCTGTACCTAATCTGTATCTAACAACTGTTTGATCTACATGTAAAACCTGAAAAGAACTGTTTTTTTTTTATTTGCATCTTTGTTCTATTGTGTTTATTTGTGCTATTTATTTGTGCTATTAGTTTGATTATTTGTTCTTATTTTATTACAGACTGACACTTTACTTGACTTTTTATTGTTCTTGCATTAATTAAAAAAAAACTAGTGTGTAAAACAAAAAATGTACTAGCCAATGGCAACTCTAGCTATATTGTGTCCGTACAGGGTTGATGTTTTTTATTGCGTAGTCTCAAAAAATAAAAAGATGCATACGGTAAATACGGGGCTTAGAAAATACATCTGCCAACTGACAGTTGAAATGCATCAGGGCACTTGTGAGATATTGTAATATGATATAGTCACATCGCCCAGCCCTAATGGATAGGAACTCGATTTTTAATGGATAATAATTTAAAATTTGGTCAATCATATGGCTTTGACAGACTCGGAATATAGGGAACAAGTAAAATAGAGTTTCTATGATACTTTTATTGTGTTTTTTGAGGGCACTGGAGCAGGATAGCCACAGTCCTCTTTCTCTATCAATGCAAGGAAAAGAAGTAAATTTTTGCTTTTGTGTTCCAAAGAAATCTGTCAAATGGGTTTGGAATGAGATGGGTAAATGACAGGATTTGCATTTTTGGCAGAGCTGTTCCTGAAAAACCTTCTTAGATGATTTTCCACCAAATTAAAAACTTCACTTGTGACACTGCAGTACATTAGATTCTTCACATCCATGAAACTGAAGACTAAAACATCAGCAAAGAATCACTGCTCACACAGAAGACAAGGCAACACACAAAACATCTGTGATGGATACAGTGGGCTTTTCTTGGCTGCTAGAAGAGACCTTATTGTGCATGTTAAATCCTTCTACGCAATCACACAGAAAACGCCCGACAACAACGTTCCAGCTAGATTCTGAAGTATAGAGATCATCAGATAATATCCAGCAAAAATTCCCAGCTTGCAAAATACATACATTCATAAAGATCTTACTGGGGTGAAACTGGCTGGGCAAGCGCCGCGGGTCACCAACGATTTAATGATGACTGCAAGCAAAACAACCCACAAAAGTGATTCCACCAGCTGACAACGGTCTCATGTGGGGACATTTTTCTGAGATCCTTACAAAATGGAAAAACAAAGCCTTTCTCTTCCTCTTTTCAACCATAGTGTCCACGAATTCACAAATATTGTGTATATAAAGCACATTTAGAAATGCCGATTGATAAAATAAGCCAAATTTCAATCGGTTTCATCTTTGATTAGGAATAAGTAGCTCAATGGAATAATTAGTGATCCATAATCAAACAGAAATTATTATGAAGATGAAAATATACATTTCAAAATAGAATGGGGGGTGAGGTGATAATCAATGAACATTGACTTTGACAACATTCACCAAAAATGCACCAAAATGGGAATTTTGAAATAGCTTCCTTTTTTTATATAGCTTTTACATAAGCATAATTCCACTTTAGTTAACTGATCAAATGAGCATAGTTATTGGCCAATGACAATAATCTCTAAATGGCTAAATATCAATCAGCCAAATAATTGGTTTATTATCACTAAAACAGAAAACTTGGTTTGACTTTTTCAGTTTCTAACTGAACTACTAAAAAATCTATAAAATTAGCAAATATTGACAAATTGTAAGAAACATTCCTAATCAAAACAAAATACATGGCGGCTGTTCGCTCGCATTAGAAACTTTAAACAATCGACCATAATCAAAGCACATGAACAGATGACTTTGTTTGCTTTCTGAGATTATATAACCATGTTCCATATAACAACTTACCCCCCCCAAAAAACGACATGCATAAACATAACAAGGTTAAAAGATAAATGTGACGGCTCAAACAAAGGGAATTTAGAAGCAGGATCAGCATCCCAGTTCAACTTTACAGATTCATCATTAGAGATGTTCGGATACATTTGAGTTACATACGGGTTTTTACCCCATTAATGTGCAAAAACTGAGTTTGTGAAGAGCATAAGCGCATATTCTCTGCTCTCCTTTGTCCATGATCTCGAATGTCATTTCCTCTCTCCAATTGTTGTAGCTTAGCTGGCTAACTGACGACCGCCCGGCGTCCTTGTTCATAACATTTAAACCCGTATGAGTATTTAAACACTACTATGTATATCCATATGACATTTTAATCTAAGAAAAACTGGCTTAATAGTGATACGGGCTTGTTGTGAAGGAATATTTGAGGAAAACGGTCTCACAACAGAGCTACAGCCGAATAAGCTAAACTGAGGAAAAACAAAGCCATACAAAAGGCAACATAACCTCGAAAAACAGTCAGCGACGGATTAAAACAGATGAGCGACAAAGAAATAGAAACATTAATTACGTAGCATTAGATATATATAAAAAACAGTTAAATAGTCTGAAAAAGAGATTTGTTTTTTTATTACCTGCTAACACGCTTCACTCAGCCAGCAGCAGACTCCGTCACGTGACCGTCACCGCTGCTGCCGATTCTCTCCATGCAGATCCTAGAGGCGCGCTCCCGCACCAGCAGGCACATTCACAAGTGCGCGCACACGTACACAACAAACAACACACTTTGATAATATACAACTAATGAATTAAAATCCAATTCATACATTTTATAACATCTTAAAGGATCATTCTATCATTATTAATCACCATTTGTACTAGTCCATTTCTGAAAGGATAACGTTATATTCTTTACGCTTATGGAGCTTAAAATAAAAGTTGTCCCTTTCTATTCATCTATTGAATTATGCTTCATTGTTTGGAGTGTTTGTACATGTATATTGCGGGTCCCTACAGATCATAATCGTGAACGAGCATCATCACAACCTATGGTCACAATCACTGATCTATTCCATATCACTATGACATACGATTTGCGCTCCCAGCGGTCAAATGAATCACTACAGTGCAGTGTTGCTCACAAAATGGCACAAACAAACTTTATAATAAATAATATATATTCTTTTTTCTCTCAAATACGACTTATAAATTTATATTAAAGGTATTTAAAGCATAAAGACATGATGCAACGCCAGAATGGAAGAAAAATACATCAATAAAGTTTTATTCATTTTCTTTTTGAAGAATGTCTCATGTTACTGTTCTTTTGCTTGTTTTGTTTTTATATTGTACAATATCTTTACACTTCGGTAATCTGTAAAAACATTCAGGAAGTGTGTATAAAAAAGGGCACCACCAAAATAATGACAGATTAGTTCACTCACACACACGCACATATATCCTCTGACATTTACATAAACTGTATTCTCCCTCTATTAGATTCCAAATATGTATACATATACATTTTATATATAAAATACATTTTAAAAGTGATGGTTAATTTCTGCTTAATATATACCTGTTACTGTGGTCATTGTACTAACAATTTCGTGACAATTTCATGAAAGTTTCCATGTTAAAAAAGAAGAAAAGAAAAAAAACAGAAAAAGAAAGAAAAGAAAAGCCTAAACAAATTCAATCTGCAAAAGTCTTTCACAGAAAGACTCTGGAAAGGCAACAGTGTCACACAATACTGCCCTGCCTTTGAGCAGAGAAGATAAGAAGCAACAATCCTAACAAATATGATTGTACCTGAACGTCATGAGTACTAGTGATGGCAACAATACAAAATAAATAAGACGTCTAAATGTCACAGAGGGAAAATTGCAATCTTGATGCGGGTGTGTGCGTGCGTTAGTACAGATTTAGCAATAAAAGAGAACACAAACTGTATCTGATTTCCTTCAATTGTCTCTCCCTGCCATTATTTTGGAAAACATAAGGGAAAAATGAAAACAACGGGCGAGTCTTCATTGACCGCTTTGTGATTCATATCCATGTTTACTCCGTGCTCTTCATATAACTGCAGTCTTGACTCCAGCGTCCAGTACTGCACAGTGAGGTTACAGGTCAGGCTGTCCGTTCAATTTACCAAGATTCATCTCCAATTGCCGATTCTTAGCCTTTTCAGGATGCACAATGTCAGTCCACTGCGAGCCAAGAAAGAGGGCTGTTCAGCAGGTCTTTGAAAATCACACAACAAAATCTCAACACTCCATGTTTCTAGAAACCAATTTTTTAAAAATCAGCAAATGAAACAAAAATAAATCTTTAGCGTAATGCCCAGCGAGAGAGACTGTTAAATATTTTCATATATTTTTACACTATTCCACAGTTCTCAAAGGTTCAGGCAGTCAATGCTCCTCCATTTTTTTTCAGGACTCAAACAAACTTCTCGATCAGACATCAGCCAGGGTCACATCTCTGCTTTTTTTCGTCACGCACAAAAACAGATGTGAATTCAGGAGTACAATAGGCAAATTAAAATGTAAAGACAGAAGAACAAGCACAAAAAAACAGCTGAGAATCACATCTATGCTCCTGAGTCCTTTGAGAAATAGAGGATGATCTTGGATATTAGCTAAACTGAAAGTAAAAAAAAAAAAAAAAGAGTAAGGAGAAAAATGGAAGATGGCCTATAAGCCCATGGTACGTGAGAGCGAAATGGAGGGATGATGGACGGAGGTTAGCTCCAGAGGCCGGCGTAGTTTCCGTGTAGGCCAGAACACAGGGGTCCGCCGGCCACAAAGAGTTTGGTGCCGGAGTCGTCGTAGCAGTGTGTGTACACGGCGTTCGGGAAGGAGCGCACGTCGGAAAAGTAGCTTCTCCACGTTTCATCGTGATTCTGTGGGAGAAGAATCTGATTTTAGAAACGGTACAAGAACTTGACTGATATTTCAAGCCTAATAAATATACATACATACACTACCATTTTGGGGTCGGTATGATGGTTCAAGTTAAATAAAAGAGGTATTTTATGTTCATTGGTGCTGCATTTACTTGATAAAAAAATACAGTATAACAGTAAAAAACAAATTCTTTAAAAAAAACATCTCCCTTTGATTTGAACTTTGAGCGTTGTAACTTTGCAGATGTAGTTTATGCTCAAAGAGCAACATTACACACTAACTAAAGTTAAAAAAAAGTGAAATCATAATCATGACAACCCCATAACAACATTTCTTATTATTCAATGTTGAAAAAAGTTGTGCTGCTACTTTTGGAGAAATCATGACGCATTTTTTTTAGGATTCTTTAATGAATAGAAAGGTCAAACAGCATTTAATTTAAATAGAAACTTTTGTACTTTTGATCCATTTAATGCATCCCTGCTGAATGAAAGTATTGATTTCTTAAAAATAAAAAAAATAAAACTGACCCCTAACTTTTGAACAGTGCGTATATAATAAGCAGGATAATGTACAGTTCATTATCACAAAATAGCCTCAGACAGGGAAATCAGGACCCTGATATATGGAGTTGTTCATTTTTGCGATAATGAGTGGCTAACTGTGCATTATCCCTTACATAGTTAAATTATTCAAAGTTTTAATAAAAGGGCAGCAAATTAAGTGGGTCAATTACACCAATCAAATATCAGTTATACTTCCATGTGGACTCCTGATTAATGCAGCAGACAGCATTTCTGCTTAATGAACTTCCATATGGTAAGCAGAGGCTGATGCTGCAGGCAACCGACTGCTAAAGTAAGCACTTTGTAAAGGAGCTTATATATAGACTAATTAATTGCAAGGTTTGCCCATGGTTAAAAAATTAGGTAGTGGGTTGGTGTATAAAGCGAAAGAAGAAAATAGCAATATTACATGTATATCAAATGATTATGAAAGTTCAAAATGCAAAATAATGGTTTGGTAATAGATATACTTTCTTTAAACAAATTAATACCTTTATTTAAGCAAGGATGGCTAAAACTGATCAAAAGTAACTAAATATATGTATACTGTTATTAATGCTGCTCTTATGAACTTTTTATTAATCTATAAATGTTTATAAAGAATAAGTATAATGGTTTCCACAAAATATATGGCAGTACAACTGTTTTCAAAATTGATAATAACGAGAAGAAGAAATGTTTCTTGAGCAGCAAATCAGCATATATGAATGATTTCTGAAGGATCATGTGACATTGAAGACTGGCGTAATGATGCTGAAAATTCAGCTTTGACATCACAGGAATAAATTACATTTTAAAATATTCCAAAATACAAAATAGTAATATATTAAATAATAATATTTCACAATATTACGGTTTTACTGTATTTTTGATCAAAGAAATGCAGCCTTGCTAAGAATTTATATTTGAGCTCCACAACTAATCGAAAAGATCACAATCTCAATTCAAACAGCCATGTGATCATATTACCGAGCAACAACAAGCCAGAGAGAGCAGTTGACATGTATGAAATAGCTTCACACAGTTTTATTAACCACACACTATCTCTGTCTTCCAATAATTCAAATGATCACAGAAGTACTGAGACAAAAGTTTTTAGCTCAGATACAAACACTAATGTTTACAGTAGTGGACAAAATAGAGAAAATCACCTTTTGAAAGAACCTTGACAAGACTGTATCAATTACATAAGCCATAGGTGGCAACAAATGACTGTTAAAAATGTATTTGACATTGAATCATTCAGGTGAAGTCTTTAAGAGTCATTGAATCATTTATTTAAACTGATTTAAAAAAAAAATCAAATTAATTAAACACTTTAAAATAGACTGCAGCAACTGACATTTTGTAAGAACCTCTTTTTTTAACTATATTTTTCCAGATTTATGCAGCTCTAATGTGTGTAAAATATAATAATAAACAATAGCCTACATCAAATAAGATAGTCTAATCTGTAAAATTTCAGCATGCAAGGCAGAGAGAATCATGGTCAAAATGGAGAATCTTACCAGCCATCCTCTCCCTGTGGAGAGTTTAAGGATGCCCTCTGCAGTGCGATTCCGGTACCCGCCGGGTGTGCTGGATGGGCCATCCAGAAAACGCTGGGCCCTGATATCATAGAAGAGCAGGGAACCTTGGCCAGTGCCTACTGTCACTATGTGTTCATAGAAGCTCACAGAGCGGATACCTATAAAATAATCATAAAAAAAAAAAAAAAGAACACTGAACACCAGTTTGCTTGGCAAAATATAACTTTAACTTTGTCTGAATTATCTTGGAAGAAAAAAAGGAAAAAAAAAAAACCACACATACCACTGCCACGCTCCCTGGAGCTCACGGATTTGATGTTCTGAGTCGATTGCCGGGGGTCAAGGAAGGAAACGTGAGCCTGAGAGCCGACTGCATAAACAGACCAGTCCATCCCATACGCCAGACACACATTCTCCTTACAGTAAGGAAGTTTGGTAGAAAGCTCCTGAATTTAACAGAAGAAAAAAAACAGTCATGAGAAATCAAATATTGAGGTTGGCATAAAAAGCCAATATATGAGAGAGAAAAATACTAGTACTGATACTGGTAACTGTACCTTACACAGGTTGTCTTGTGCTTTCCACAGATGGAAATATCCATCTAGAGAAACGGCACCCAATTCCTAATGGATGAATGAAAAAGAAAAGTAGAATTGGAGAAACGGCGAGCTCGAATAACGCAAAAAGAATCAATTTTGAGTCAGTT